TTTGCAGAAGTTCGTGTATGAATTGCAAATGCATATTCAAAGTTTTTCTAAAAATAAATATGTCTACCTCTACTCCCTGAGAAAGATTTGAGGAAAAACACAGCATTTGATGAAAACATACATTTGCTGGGGGCCTGGACAATCAGATATATTGATGGAAATCGGAATCTAACTGGGGGCTGGATTAACCATTAAGCCAGGCAAATTACTGAACAGTTTCTCATAGCCAAAATGGGGCCATGGTGGTATTGTTCCTGGGTGATAGGTCCCCAATAGGAAATAGGTGGGTAACCCAATTTGTGCTAGGGGATTGTGGACAAATGGAGCAAGGGAGAGCAACAAAGGGTTCGGAATAAAGCTACAAGATACAGATCTATCAACATGCATCTCCTGCAAATCCCCTGGGGTTTATATGAGAGTTTCGTCATGAGCACATTGTGTTAGACTGTAAATTGAAACAATATGATAACAATTCCATCTCAATCCAAGATGGGTTAAAGGCAATAATTTGTAAGGGCTGCACAGATTCTAAACCGCACTTCCTTCAGAAAATAACAGTGCTAAAATGTGCATTGCATGCACAATGCAGTAAGGGAAGTGTGTGAAAAGGTAGCAGATTAGAAAAAGTCTCTGGATCCACCGGCTTCCCCACACACCCCTCCAGTAGGCAACTTTTCAAATGGTCACTGCAGTTGTGCTTTTAGCAGCAGCTTTTTATGCAGATGTTAGTTGGCAATAATGTGTGTCTCCATAATGTGAAAAGTCCCTACCCGCTCATTTTTCCATGTGGCTTGGTAGAAGCTTGCCCTGCCCTGGACAGGTTGGGCGGAGGTCAGCTTGCAACCTTCTTCCATTGCGATTTTCTCTTTCTGCCAGTCTCCAGGCCTCTTCCTTGCCCCAAGACTGACCCTTCCCTACAGCCTTTGCTTCGTAACCTGAGGTCCATTTGCCCTTTCTTTCACCTAGTGTTCATACAGAAGGTGCGGGAGGACCCACCATTTACTGTTAGTGGAGACTATGTCCTAAATTAAATTGGAAAACGCAGAGAAGACATAAAGTCCCATTCCTGCGGGAAACAAGCCCTATAATCTGAGATTATCCAGTTAATAAAGACAGAACGAAGGGGGTGGAGAGGGGGAGATGCTGTCTCTTTCGTTTCTGTAACTTCTTGTGAAAATTGATTGTTAAGTCCTAGAGAGACTATTTGGAAAACTTCAAAGCAGTGCCTTGGATGTTATTCTCTCATTACGGCTTCTCAAATGCTCAGTTGATCTTGTGAGTTGAGAGCTAAATGCAAAACAAATATATTTGCTCTCCCCATTGTTAGGAAGCTCCCAAAGATCAGCAGGTCTTCACATAAAAGGGCTTCATGAATTTTCATTTATCTGGTGGTTGTTTTGAATGCTAGTCTTGGTCATTACGAGGACAAAGGCTTTTATCATCTACCAGCTCCATGGTGGCTTGCCTGGAATGGGTTTGTTGGCTCAGAAAGACAGGACTGAGTGCTGACCCTACTCGCTGAATTCAGTGAACACTGTAAACGTACTGATGCCAGCAAAGTTGGGATCAAAAATTTCCCAATCAGTGCTGAACTTTGCTAGATAAAAAGCATTTGTGGAGAAGCAGGAAATCCTGGTGTTCAAGTCTGTCCAATTCAGCTAATGGAGTCTAGCTGGTGAACTGAGGAACTCTAGATTCAAATCTCCGCTCAGCCATGAGAGTGTTACTCAGTTTTAACATTCCTCACAAGGTTGACTTGAAGATTGCAAGAGATGATAGTGCCATGTATGCTGGCCTGAATGTCTTTGGGGAAGAGCAGCATTCAAATATGAGCAATAAAATCACATGTCACTGAAACAAATTGGAAGTAACCATGGAGTCATAACGTTGGCAAAATTTTTACACATCAGATAGAGTTTCTTCCCTACACTGAGCATGGTATAGATGTCAGTAGTGCCCGATGGCACAATTTTGCAGAAACCTTTGCTTGAGCTAGGGATGGGCCCATATGCAAATTTCAGGTTTCTCATTTTTCCAATCTTATCTTTTGTTCCCCACGTTTGTACATCAGTTTGTGATGATGGTGATTTTTAAAAAGGTTTCATGAAGATTCACCAGCATTTCTGTGCAAATTTCAACTAGTAGACACATTTTTGTAAGAGGTTTTGCCTAAGAGATAGTTTTTTTGCAAAGGAATTTTCCTAATACAATGGATTCTCCCCCCCCACCTGCCATCACCACCCATGTCAGTTCTACTAATATATACATTTTTGTATATATTAAGTACATGTTACTTGGCTGCAGAACTGCACTGGAAAATTCGGAGAGTGCAGATTTTCGAGGATAACTGTGCTTCTGTCTTGTGTGCTGCTTTGGGCAAGTGCAAAGTAGGGAGGTTCACCTTTTAGCCCAGACAGAGCCTACCTTCTCCCTCATCCATCCCTAATCTGAGCAGGCCTTGTCTTCTGTATCACAGTCCTTCCCCTCCCCCGGCTTTGTGCATCGTGGACCTTCGAAAGCCGCATCCCCCAGCATATCTGTGACCTTTGGTAGGCTTAGCAGTAATGGTGCAGTGCAGCATTACTGTGTCCTTCTCGGTCACTCGCTTTCGCCGACCGTGTTGGGAGTTTAATGCAATTGCGTATGCCTTGAGAATGTGGTGGAAATGGGGCCGGGTCTCAGCTGCTCTGTGTGATTGACTGGATATTTTTAGCTCAGTTCTTAGAGCTTAGATTGCCTTACATGCGCCAGCCATTGATTCTGCTCTATTATACTCTCGTTTTGGCTGGGCTTGAGGAGCAGGGGAAGAATACAATGGATTGTTAGAGCTGTTATTGAATTGGTGTCTGGAGAAACTTGTTTCTATAAGGAGAGATTGCCACGGGTATGAGGAAATATTGAAGCTCCAAGGCCTGCTTGCCACTGCCAAGAGCGTGGCGGAGCTAAGTTTAGCTGATGAATGGAGCTGGGGCTGGAAGGCCTGAGAAAGAAAGGGGAGGTTAGGGGTGGTCAGGACCCAGAATGCCCAGCAGGCCAAAAGTGCCACCTTCAGATGCACACAGGCCTCTGTTGCAGAGCCTTACCTGATTCGTGACTGTCTGGTGTACCCTATAAGCCTCTTCCTTTCCTTCCTAATTGCTGGCTATCAGGGCACTAGTATAAGCCCTGGATGTCCGCATTACGTCACTAAAGGCTGGAGTAGCTTAAGTGTCCCTTAAGAAGCCATGCAGCTGCTCTGGTGGTGTACGGGGGCGTCTGTGTGTGTCTGTCTGACTGTCTGTCTTGCCTGAGGAGATCACCAGTGGTTGAACTGGTCTTCTGCTATTTTTATAACTCTCCTTAGCTGTTTTTAGTACAATTTGTACACCACCTTGAGATGGACCTGGAAGGCTAGCAATGGATCAGGGTGATGATCCATGAGCAAGGGAACTGTCCCAAGAAAAGTTGAAAATGTCTGTTTCCTCTGAACTTGAAAAACAAAACAAAGCAAACCACCACAAGCACATCTTTGTAATTATACAGGAAACGGGCATTATTCATTTTGAAAGATTGTCCCTCGAAATGCAGCCATTTAATCTGAGTGATCTGCTGGTAGGTGGGTGGGTGTTTTCCTGTTCCTTTGAACAGAGACAGACTTGAAAGATGCATATTGTCAGTCACCCACCAGTAACCTCCTCCTCCTTTTTTGCCATGGGGAAACAAAGCATCTGGGCTGTCCTCCAGGGGGCTTGGCCTCTCGCACACTAGAAGGTAGCGGGAGTGATATTTCCAAGAGCACAGAAATGTTAATCTTAGAATCTGCATAATAGGATATTATCATGTTGATACTAGAAATACAAAACCCAAGCATTTCTTGCGAAAGCTGGCCAAGGTTGCAGCATCATTCCCAAATGGAAATACTAGATGTTGAGCGTGGAGAAAGTGCTCTGTTTTGCTTTATCCTTCAGTTTCTTTTGAATGGCATTGATGCACATATTCAAAGTCGGCAAAAATAATAATCACAATCAGGTACAAGTTGTCACTTCTAATTTAAGAAGGGGGATGAGAAGAATAGACCTAAATTCTGATCTTGCAGACAAGCCAGTAACACATAATTATAATTCATCAGCAGGTAATAATGCGGAAAAGAAAAATAATCTCGGGATTTTTAGTTTTAATACATTGGAGGAGGGGCAGGAAATGCCTCATTTTACAGCATTCATGTCCTTCAGTACATGCTTGCTTTAGAGGCACAACTCTTACTACACACTGCTCTCAGTTGTATTTTCCCAGTCATTTTATGTATTTATTTAAAACATTTCTGTATCCCCTTTCATCAGTAATACCAAGTCAGGCTAGAAAAAGAGCCACTGGGAGTCATTTAGAACAATATCTGCCATCTTTAATTTGCTTTTTTTAGTTTCAATGTGGTTATTTTATAAAATTTTGTTTTGTTGTAAAAGGAATTCTTTTGAAGAACAGGCTAAAAATACCTCAGTAAATAAACAAAATGTGGAACTGTTGCCTTTTTGGAGCTTGAAGGCTTTCTACAGGTGGCAGCCTGCCTTCAAGTGGTTTTAAATCCTCTTTGTTTTAGGATGGTTGGGACTTTGGTTTCTTAGCTCCACGTTAGTGTGGCTTTTTATTGTGTACCATTTGGACACCCCTTAAAGACACCAGTGATCTGATCTACACCTTGTGAAGGCATGTGTGATTATATTTGACCTCATTTGGTTTTTCCGAGGATTCACAAGCCAGCCAAGCTCACCATCCTTTTCTCTTTTACATCCACAGTATGAAGTGTCTGGTGAGGAACACCTCTACTCTGATTTCCCAGAGATAGATTTGTCCCAGTTGGATGCCGGTGACTTTGACTCAGCCAGTTGCTTCAATGAGCTGCAGTGGTGTTGCGAGCACTCTGAAACAGAGTCCAGCCAGTACAGTACAGATGACTCCGAGCTTTTTCAGGTACACTTCGCCGTGGGATTCTCTGTGTCACTGTGGGAAATTTACTCTGGGTCACAACTTCCAAATTGTGTGTGTATCTTTCTCCAACTATAATACTGTCATTGGCAATATGTTGGTTCTGGGAGCCCACTGCAGAGAAGAAACACATTTCTAGAGGAAATAAGTGTATTCTATGGCCATTGTTCTTCATGAGAAGGAGAACAGTGAAGGAATCCATGTAGCACATGTGGATTGTGCTGGAATGATCCCTAGGTAGGAGGGAAGAATGTAGTTTTCTGTTTACAGGTCTTCTGACAAAACATTTCTAGTCAGCAGCAGACACTGTGGTGGGGTGGAGGCCCTTACCTGACCTCTTGGCAGGTGAGTTGCTGCTGCTTACTTGGAGAGGGAGGGACAAGGAAGGGCGATACCATGCAAATGCACTGGGAGGAGTTTCAAATTGAACTCCACTGGTGCTTTTGCAGCTCACCACCACTGTGCCCCTCCCAATAAGTAGCAGTGACTCACTAGCCAAGCCCCACCACCAACATCAGTTTGTTTCCTTCATGATTCTGTGAAGGAAGAACACATATAAATCTGGCCTTCATTTGTCCAAGGAAAGGTGAAGGGTGATCTCTTGTTATTCTAAGGTGGCCTTCTTCATCCTTGGGTCCCCAAATATTGTTGGACCACATCTCCCATCATTTGTGACCATTGGATAAACTGGCTGGGGATAATGGGATTTGTAGCCCAGCAACATCTAGGGATGCATGTCTGAACAGTTCAGATCTAAAGTACTAATATATGGCCTGCTACCTGCAAGAGCAGTTGTTTTGGGCTACAGTTGGGATTTGCGGCTTCTTCCTTTGGCTTCCTGTGCAAAGTGCAGCCAGGAACATATGAAGCCACCTTATGCTGAAGGCCAAATTAGATAATACGTTAGGGCTGCACTCTTATATCCACTTACCTGAGAGTAAGCTCCATTGAATTACACAGAATTTAATTCAGGTAGAGTAGAAATGTGTAGGACCACAAAGTAAATGTGTGGTCACAATTGCACATCTTTCAACTTTTTTAAAATAGAAAAATAGCACCTGTGGGAGCCTTAGCCTAGATCAGGACTCTGGTACAGTGGAGGGGAAACTAATCCTTCTCCCACCCCAGCACAGTTTTGCTGATAAAATAATTCATCCCAAACTGTGTTTTGCCCCAAGAAGTGTTTTGGGGGCCACTCCCTATATAATAAATAGGTTTTTTGTTGTTGTTATTTTGCACCCCCTTCGCACAGCGCCCTGTGCGGGGGAACCACCCTAAATCCAGCGCTGATAATAGTGAGGGGGGGATGGAGAAAAATTGCAAGAGTTAACACCCTCATGCCTTTCAGTTCTAATTGGGATTGGGGGCTCCTGTAGCTGTTTCTTTCTTTTTCACATTTTTCTTCTTAAAATGAAAGATATGTAAATGGCAACCACACACTGAAGGCTTCACGTTTGGCCCTCCATCCTATCAGTGGCTGAATAGTATCTCCCCTGACTAACAGCCACTCTCCAGAGTTTCAGCTGATGCTCTTTTTCAGCCTCAGCGCTTAGAGTCTCTATCTAGAGATACTGAAAATTGAACGTGGGACCGTGTTCTTCTGCACAGGAAACATGTGGTCTGCCACAGAAAGTACAAAACTAATATAGCAACTATCTCAAAGTGAAGAAGCTACAGTACATCAATAATTCTTGCAGACAATCACACACACACCAATAATCTCCTTTGCCTGCCCCTGCCTACCTGGTGCTTTGCCCCTTACGGTAGATGCAAAACAGGCCCAGGATGTTCCGTATCCTGCCAGCACTCACCTGTTAATTCCTCCACACAGAGGAGGCTTGTTTCCCCCCTTTTCTGGAACAGCCTGATGAAAGCTGAGGAAAGGTGGCTGTGGGTGAGGAGGGGGGTCCACACTATTAATATCTCTTCTGCAGATGATTAGTGCTCCATTAATTTGCGCTTGGTTTCTAAATGGAGCAAATGTAGTAAAGCTAATGAGGAGGCAGAAGAGCAGGCGAAGGCTGCCGAGCCCATCCTCCTGTGATCTATTATTAAAAGGAAATTACAGGATGGTGCCTTGTGCCATCCAGCCTGATTTCCAAACCTGACGGATTGTTCAGCAGTGGGTGGGAGGGAGGCAGCAAGCCAGGGAGGGGGGTGGCGATGGGAGGGGAAAGCTCATAGGAAGCCGCACACAAAGTGACGTGGCCCTGGAATGTTAATTTTCCAGCGCACAGAAAGCTTCCCTTTTATCTGACTCTCCAGCTTCGGCGTCACCTCTGCATCTCTCTGTGCACATGGATATTTTTAGCCGAGGCTCCCTCTCAGTGTGTTGCTCGTGCTCTCTAAATATATGTGGTCCCATTATACCAATCGGCGAGCTGAGATGCAGTGCAGGTGGATGGAGCCGTGAGCCCGCGAGGAAGATAAAAGGCGCACAGATTACCTGCGGGTGACACAGCTCCCTTGGCGCACCCCACGCCGCCTCCCCCTCCTTGCTCTTGGCTTTCCACAAAATACACACCATCTCCCAACAGGGCACAAGGTATTCATGGTGGTGTTTCCATGATCAGGATATGTTGTGAACAGTTCTTGGCTTCAGTTCTCCCCCTGTTAATTTAGGAAGACAGGAAGCTGCCTTGTGGCGGATCAGACCATTGCCCTACCTAGTTCCGTATTGCCTACACTGACCGGTAGGTAGCACCTCTTCAACATTTCGAAGAGGGAGTCTTTCCCAGCCTTACCTGGAAATGTCAGGGATTGAAGTTGCAACTTTCTGCTTACAAGACAGATGCTCTACCACTGAGCTAGAGCCCTTCCCATTGTGTTCACATGTACACGATACGCCTGCTCTTGCCTTTTATGTCAAATTCCAGTAGCATTTCCAAGAGTCCAGAGCTAGTTCATATGATGGTGCCTCACCCACCACCCCTGCTCCCTTCTTAACCCCAGCATAGCCTTCCAGGTAACCTTTGCTTCCTCCGAAGGCTGAGCAACAAAGGAGCATCCTGCCATGCCATTTCTGCATCCTGCCATGCAGACTGGTCTGGCTGCTCCAGGCTCTGTCGGCTGGCCCCGCACCATCCCCACTGACTGACTCAGCAGGAACCAGGATGTTGGGAGAGTCCTGCACATTATGCAAAAAGCTAATATTATTGCCCTTTAGTTCCTGTAATAAAAGAATAGTTCATCATTTTATACACTTGATTCCCGTGATGATCTTTGGCCGGGTTGGAGGGGTGGAGGATGTCTGAAGAGGTTCTTTGAAGTGCCTCGCCAGAGTAATTGAGAAAGGAAATCAAGGAGGCAGGAGGAGTGGGGAGAGAACAGTGTGGGGTATAAGTTTATACCTGGCCTGATGTAGTATCAGGAATTTGGCAGGAAAAAAACATTCTCCTGTTGCCTCTCCTCCATTAAATACCTGCTGCTTCAGGGGGAACAGATTGTTTGCTGTATATGAAGAGAAGGTGTTCTTTCTTCTTTTCTTTTCTTTTCCTTTTGTCTTTAGCATAAGGTTGATTTTGGATTCCAGGTTACAACTGCCTGCCAGTTCGCATTTTGTAGTGGAATTATCCACTCATGATGAACTTTTAAAGAATTCCTTCCCCACAGTGACACCTTCACATGCCAGCTTTACACTGTTCTTGCAAAAGGTCGAGAGTGACTGACAGGCCGTCATTGCGGGATACATATTTTCCACTGAACTTCCTGAGGAAAAGATAAACAGAGCTGAAAAGTAAAAGGCAGGTCTTTTAGGAATGAGCGGAGCCTGATGAAACGTACCCTGCTGATGTCCTCCTGCCTGCAGAAGTATCTCACCAATGCTGGAAGGAAAATAAATTTGTCGGGAGAACACAGATCCCTTTGCTGCCCTTCCTTCTGAGTGCTGCTGTTTCCGCCATAGTTTCTCGTAGTGCTGACATGAATATTTGGGGTTAATGGTGGCTGTAGTCAAATCCAAATAAGCACATACTCACGGTCAGTGGGGATTCTTCATTTCTTCAAAGTTAGGCACATCTCTTTGTGTCCGAGAGCCAATTCAAATGTTCATGCAAATGCCTGATGCAGAACTCTGTCATGAGAATGCAGATGGGGGGGGGGAGTTAGGAAACAAGCAGTACCAGCATAAGAGGCAACAAAGGAGTGTGGGAGACTGTTGTGCCACATTACCCCAGTAAAGCCTGAATTGCCTCCAGTGAAGGTTCCCCGTGTCTGCTTCTAATCAAGATAGACTGGCATTCCTAGGGGATTACAGCTGGCTCTGGCTCAGCACCTCCCTGTTCTGGAATGCCCCCTTTGGGGGCCTTGGTTGACACTGGAGTGTGTAGGGATCCTGATGGCAGCACCTGCACCCTCCCACATCTTTGGCAGGCAAAACAGGCGGCTCTCTGATGTCCCTCCACAGGTGAAAGCTGGCAGGGCTAGACAAAGGAGCACCTCCATCCAATCCACACACTAGTACACAGCTCTCAACAAAGGGGGTTTGCATTGCACCCTTAGCCAATAAGGCATCAGGGCAAGGTTCTCAATAAGATGTCAGTAAGAGTCAGGCACGACTAAACAACTAAACAACAACAACAACAAAGTCTAATGAAATTCTACAGCCAGGCTTGGGCACCTTACCTCCTGCACCACCAATGCGCAGTTTTCACTGTGAACCTGGCAGAGTGAACACTGTGCTTCAAAGGTACCCTCTAAGCTGCAGCACCAGCTGACTCCAAGGACCAAGCCCTAGCTTTAGAGCTGGCACCTATGTTTTGTGTAACCCGTCTCTAGCATGAGGACACTTTCTAAGTGCTGTTAAAATTTCCGGGGGGGGGGGGGTTGGAAGGAGGGAGCTTTCTCCCACCCCAGCCTCCAAAATTTCTCTCTTCCTTCAGGCCCTTAGAACCCTGCCCTGCTCCCTCCCCTGTTTTCTGCTGTGGAAATAGACACCTTTTTTATTTGGGCTTCACTTGCTTTGGAGTGACAGGCAGCTCCTGCAGGTCCCAGGAGCCCGTATACTGGAAGTTGGACCTTGCCAAGTCCTGACACTTTCAGACTCATAACATGCATTGTCTTTATCAAGCTGTTGTTCTAGAAAGGAAGGAAGGAAGGAAAGAAAGAACTTTGTTTTTGAAACAAGTTCCTTCTTTCTTTCTTTTCAGCAACTCTTTATAACCTCAGGTACAGAGAAGTGATACAGTGCTCCATTATGTTGGGAGGAATGCTAAAGCAAATAATAACATTGAAATTGTCAAGAGCAAAATGCTGCATGACTGTCTTGGAGTCCTGCAGTCTCAGACCTGATTTTTGCAAAGTTTAAACATATTGGCTGTGACAGGTCAGAATCAAAGAACTGTAAAATAGCTGCATGGGAAATTCAGCTTGGGAAATTAAGAATAGCAGCAAAATGTTTGTTATTCAAAACATCTGGTTGTTAAAATCCACTGGCTCACCCTCCCCTGAACCATTTAGCTATAGTCTGAACTCAGCAGTGTTCTTTTTTATCTACTCTTTGGATTTCCAGGAATGATTCCAGTGTTCATCATACTCAGATATCTGCAACTGTGCAGTTTAGGGAACTGCTTGATTTGAGTACATAAAAAGTGGGGTGCAAGATTACATGGCCCTGTGTACTGTCATGTTCCAAATGAATCATCCTGAAATTAACCACTAGAAAAACTGGCACCCTCAGCTGGTTTTCCTAGTCGTTTTCCTAGCGGTTACCAGTGATGTCCAATAGTTTTCGGGCCACTGCAGCACCTCTGCTTGAGTCGTCAGAGGTGATTTGATAAACCATGCCTTAAACTGTACAGGCACTTTGCTGGTTCTACCTCATTGCAGCATAGAGTCAATTCTGTACCTCAAGGATTAATCTGCAAGATGTGGTGGGGTGTGGCAAAGTGCATGGAGAAACACATTTTAAAACAGAGGGTTAGGTTCCATTATCATCTGCTAACTTCCAGTTCTAAGATTGTAATCGCACCAAGGGTTGTATTCATCATATTGCTAAGGGGATCCTTTCATCAGCGGAAGCACTTCTGCTTGTCCGACAGAGCAGCCTCCCCTCTCCTTCTCCCCACATTCTGTTCTGGCTGTTTCCCTGACCCTGTGGAGCAAATTTGGGGAGGGCACAGGAGGAAGGAAGAGGGGAAGTTCTGTTGCACTAGGGGTAATCCCTGCACTGGCTTCCACTAGCGCAGCAAGTTAGTTGACTGTGACCCCAAGCTTCTCACAGATGCAGGATGGATGAGAGTTTTCCCCATAGGCTCTGTCAGCTCATGCTCCACCCTCTATTGAGTTCTTTCTTCATTGGACACTCAAATTCACCAATTCCATCATTCATTGGTATGGAGCCCAAGCCAAAGTAAGGCCAGTTTCTGCTACAACCTTTACAGCGTGATTGTCACCGGGAAGGCAAATCACGTGGGAAACTGCTTCTGTGATAAACCTGTGTGCTTCAGGCTGATTGTAAACATACCAGTAAAACCCAGTAAGACAGTGGGGACAACCCAGCTGAAGTTAAGCAATTTTAAAGGGGCAGAGTTTTGAGCACGTGCATATAATTCTTTCATTGAAATCAAGATTTTACAATACCTGCCTGTGGTTGGATCGTGTCCACTGATTCCAACTAAGCGCTTCAGTTGCCTGTGATTTTTATTGCTAAAAGATAACTTTGTCACCAAGTGCAAAATATCTGATAGATATGGATATAAACTGGGAGGAAAAGCTGGATGTAAGTTGTTGGGTTTTCTCTATCAAATTTAGTACAGAGAAGAGGGGAATAGCTATTCATGTGCAGTCTGTGTGAAGTTTGTACCCTTCAGCCTCAGACCCAGCAGCTAATGGAGGGGCAAATTTTAATCTGAGATCAAAGCTGTACAGTATGGTCCTACGCATATTTACTTAGAACTGAATCCCATTGAGTTCAATGGGGCTTAGCCTGTGCAAGTGTGCTAGTTGATCAATTCTCTCATTAAACTTACAGCCTTCCTTTAGTGTGCCATTTGTATCGGTTGAAACATTTCTAAGGCTGCAATCCTAGGCATACCTTCCTGAGAGTAAGTCTTACTGAACTCAGTGTGACTTGCTTCCAAGGAAACCTCCACAGACAGAATTGGGATGCAAAGTAGGCCAGAAACAACAAAGATGGGGAAATGTCTGCAGGAAAATCAGGGAATCCTCACTGACATCTGTTATTTTAAGATAGGGATTTGTAGTTTATTTTTTTCTTTTAAGAACAATGTGCATCAGCCGTAAGTCAGACAGCAAAATCCTTCCAACATAAACCCTTTTCGGAAGCAGAAATATAGCTAGAGATAAGATCTCCAGCTCTTGCAGAAATAAAGCTCACCTCCAAATCAAATCATATCTCAACAAACCTAGGTGAATGCTGTTAAAAAATAAAACCTTTAATGGTGGAAATTATATTCATGGATGGGTTACACTGTTAAAGGCTTCTCAGAACTTTCCTTGCCTGCTTTCACAGGAAGGAAGGAAGGAAGGGAGGGAGGGAGGGAGGGAGGGAGGGAGGGAGGGAGGAAGGAAGGAAAGAAAGAAAGAAAGAAAGAAAGAAAGAAAGAAAGAAAGAAAGAAAGAAAGAAAGAAAGAAAGAAAACCATAGCAGAGGGATTACATATGGATGCTATATGATGATGTACAAATGGAAGTGTGTTTTTACATTTTGGATTCTAATAAACTCCATGTGGGTTCTATCCAATTAAAGGATGCTCAGAATAGACAAATTCAAGTTGGTGGGTGAAAGTCAGTCATGTCCATGATCTGCTCTGAGTAGGACTAGTGTTGGATACAACCCTATGTATCTTAGGGTTCATAGATTGTTTTTGCAATACAGAGGTACCTCAGTTTATGAACTTAATTGGTTCCGGAAGTCTGTTCTTAAACGGAAACCATTCTTAAACCGAGGCGCGCTTTCCCTAATGAGGCCTCCCGCCGCCGGTGCCCTTCCACCGCTTGGATTCCGTTCTTAGACCGAGGTAAAGTTCGCAAACTGGGACCCTACTTCCAATTTCGCAGAGTTTGTAAACCGAATAGTTCATAAACAGGGCTGTTCTTAAACCGAGGTACCCACTGTATAGTGATATATTCAGCCTCAGTGGTTTCGTCTGCATGGTGTTTCCTTTCCTGCGCACATCCCTTTAATGTGATGTCATTTGAGTTGTTCTCCTGTAGGAGGCATTTTGATTGGGTAACACCCTCTCTCTCTCTCTCTCTCTCTCATTCTTCTGACTCCTCCTACCAGATTATTGACAGCGAGAATGAAGCGCTGCTGGCGGCTCTCACCGAGACACTGGATGACATCCAGGGAGACGACATGGGCCTGGCCGCCTTCAGACCTATGGACGAGGGGGACATGCCCAACAGCGGCTGCACGTCACTCACCCCCTCTCCCAAACCTGCCGCCCCTCTCCCGAGGGGGCCTCCTCTGGCCCCAGAGGTTGATGAGCTGTCTCTAGTAAGAACCCACTTCCTACTGTTTAAGGTGGATTTGGATGCGCCTCTGATAAGCCGGCTGCATGGGTATGATAGGAAGCAAAGGTCTGAATTTTTTCATTATAGGCTTACAATTATAACAATACAAAAAGCATATACCTGTTATTGTATACGTATACATGTGCTGCACCATTGCTCTCACTCCAGTTTGCTCCATTGCCATCCTCATGGGGAAAGAGTGTGACCATTGCGGGGAGGGGGAATCGAGTGCGGGTCAGGCGTGTGAATGGCATCAGATGCATTCCAGAGCTGCAATCATCTTTAAACAAGCCCCACTCCAGTGGTGCCTCATTGTCTGCTGTTTCTTTCTCTTTTTTGATATATCTCATTTCCCAACATTCCCCCCCTCCCCGTTCCTCCTCGCCCACTCCCACCCTCCACTCTCTGTGCCGCCAAGTCTCCAAGTGCCGATCCCTCGCATGATCAGAGGCGTGAGAAAAGCTCCCTCCCCGCTATGAGGTTGGCTAGTGTCGCTGATCTGCTGTATCCCCTTATGGTCAGGGCTGAATATATCTGCACCACCTTGCTGAAGCTTAGGCAGGTCTGGGTCTGGTCAGTGCCTGGGGGGGGGGGACACACACAAAGACAACACTCTATGGCTGGGTCGCCCTGTGTTCCGTAATAGAAGAACACAAGAAAATGAGCAAATAAATTAGTATTTATTTGCTTTAAAAAACAAGAAACAGTATTGTGCACCATGGTAGCCTGAATAAATTTATGGAAAAGAAATCTCTGCGTGTATAGCAAATTGAAAGCTTAGCCCAGGTTTTCCAAATAAATAACTGAAAATCTGGAGTCTGTGACCACTATGCATTATGCAAATCAAGCAGACTGCGTATTTTTCCTTTGGCGTAATTTTATTCTGCTTTGGCTAGTCTTAGGAACTAGGACTACCACCACTCCTACCCAGCCAACAACCAGAAGTTTAGTTACTTCCCACACTTAGGAGATTTCATCTGGTATTGCCTACACGCTTTCAAGAACCCGAAGCTTGCCTTTACACTGAAGAGGTTCTCTGGAAAGCCAAATTCTGTGCCTAGAGCCATATTCCAGCCCCTGCCCTGCTCTCTGCTCCCTTGAGGATACACAGAAGTGAAGAATGCACAACGCCCTTTTTGTGACTCCTGGATTTTGGGGGCTTGGTGAAGCTTGAAGTCCTAGCTATTCTATGGCTTCTGTCAGAGATCCCTTCTTAGCAAACTTGCAAGGAGTGGTGGAAGGGGAAGAGGGCACTGTGGATGGCGTCTTCACGGAGAACGCCACATTTTCAGAACCTGTTTTCACTTAGCACATGCCCAGAGCTGGAGGCTACAGAGCCTTCGACCCTCCACCCTTCTGTTACTTGGCCATGCTCTAAATCATCCTACAAGAGTGTTGGTTTTGGAGGACTCCATATGTTCCCACAGGCTCCTGCCTATCATTCTCTATTCCCCCTCCTCCCCCTTCCCTTATCTGTCATTAATGAATGTCATGATTTCTAAAAGTGTTCTGGCGGCATCTAGTGGTGAAATATATGGCATTTTCACTTCACACAAAAGTGTGCATGTGTGTGGGTGTATAATATTTATATATTTATAGATATATATATCACACAAATCCATATGTGTATATATAGGATGTATACGTTGCAGGAGAGAAGGAAATAATCTTTTCATTTATATATATTACATATATATATATATATATATATATATATATATAATATCAGACAGCAGAAATTTTCACTTAATATTGTGATGGAGAAAGCAGGCATTTGACCGTGGGAACTGACTGATTGAATCTCCATCGTACACTTAATTGTTAAAGAGCTTTTTTGAGTTCCCAGACTGCCTTTGAAGATTTCCCCCGACTGCTATGTTCCCACAAGAGTCAAATCTGGCATTAATGTTAACGGATCCCATGTTGCCTTCAACGTGAGAGTGTGGAATGTGAAACCTCGCCTCCCCCCCTTTTTTAAAAAAACAAAACTGAAATATTCTAGCCATGTAATCAGGAACATTTGGGTCATGATACCAGATACCCCAAGATAATTTTTCAGTCTGCTGTTTTGCCCACAACTTCCTTGATGGGGTTAAAATAGCACTCGTCCAAAGGTTCATATTTATATTTATTTATTTATTTTAAAAAAGAACCTTGTAAATACTTGGTATTTGGACAGAACGTGCATCTTCAAAAGACTTTCGAGCTGATGAATCAATTAGTCAATCAATCAATCAATCAATCAATCAATCAAAGGCCATGTTGGAATGTTACATCCCACTGATTGATTTTCAGGCGCTGATGCACTTGCTTTCTTGACGCAAATTGGATGCCCGTAAAAATATATATCACAAGTTAGGGTTTAAAGGATGGGTGGGAATTAACCTCACTATCCAGAAGCCAGTTCAACAACAACACCCATGATTCTTCAAACTGCAAAGAGCTATCTCTCTCCCCCTCCAACTTTTTACTTAAAAGAGCCTGGGGTGGAGGTGCCTGAATCTCTGCTGCCAATATTCTTAAAGCACCATGAAGGCAGCGTGCTTGCAGAATCCAGGACTTGCCAATTTTTAAGATTATGCAGGATAATTTTCACACACACACACACACACACACACATGTCTTCCTCTGTACCTAGGGAGTTTCTGCCATCGAGGGACACTTAACTCCACAAATGGCGTCCCACCGTTTAATTATGGCAACAGAATGTTCATTTTGCACAATCAGACTTGATTATTCAGTGCCATGACAGGTCTGGTCCTCCTTAGAGAAGGCGACAGAGGTAGCAGCAGTTGGCAGAGCAGCACCGCACAACTGACTTCCTGACACTGAGCTAAGATGGAGAGGGGCGGGCAGGGCAGGCAGAGCTCAGCATGGTGTGGGCATGGTGGCTGGAGCATCAGATTGGCTCCCGCCACTGCACCCACACCAGACTCAGCTCTCTGTGCACACACCCCCCCATGGTAAGCAGCAGTGACATTAGCCATTGCCTGTGCCACCCTGCCAACCACTGTTAGTAGTAAGTGGCACACACCTTGGTTTCCCTGAAAGATACTCCAGAGACGTTAAGGAGGAGTACCCAGAGAAGGATTGTGAAATGTTTTGTATAACATGCGATGAGTATTGTTGATAAGCCATTGTCCCTCCCCTATGCAGTAACTTTTGATACCTGCAGCCAAAGAGCTCTCCAGAAAGATGTTTGGTTTTTTGCAAAAATGATTTGTTCTTTGTGCGGCTCTTTCAGGAATTCTTCATATGCTATATAATTGCTATATGAACAGCACCGCCATGTAGGAAAATGGCACAAAACCTGCAGGCAGATCCTCATATGTGATGGTCACGCATGCGGGCTTTTTCGCTGCACGTAGCTATGAATGAATTTTTGTCATCACCTTGATGAGCAGTGAGCCTCCATGGAGCTGGGTCTTGGTAAGTATCCAATGCTAGTTGGAACTGCAAGCCAGACCCAACTCAGGAGGCAATAAATTTGGAAATGGTCTTTTCCAAGCCCCTGTTTGCTTTCAGTCTCAGCGTGTGTTGGAGCCTCCCCATGACCCTGATTCATGTGACTCTTCGAACATCTGTGGCTGCCAAAACTCATGTTGTGGGGGGCGGGGGCTGAATCTCCACTCCAGCTGCTTAGAGGAGAGCAGGAGGGTTGACCTGGGATAATTTAAGCAGACGTGGCTGTTCATTTATGTAGGAATTCCGACTCTTTCTTTCACCGCTTCCCTTTCCAGCTGAAGAAGTTGCTCCTTTCTCCGTCCAATGTGCCTCCAAGCTATGAGGTTCAGAGAGAGGGGAGCACATGGCGTCAAGGAACTCCCAAATCCAGACCCCAGCGACCCTGTACAAAGGTATTGTTTGCCTTAGCAACCCTAACCTTTGCCCTAAGATAGCACACCGCACTGTATTTACCCAAGATTAAATCCAAGTTTTACATTACAGCTCACCTCCCATTTTAAACAGAAGAAGTATGGTCAGGAGGGCCTAGTAAGCACTGGGACACTCCCATCAGTTTTGTTAGAAGTGTTTTGTAAATTTTTATTTATTTGTTAAATGACTTCTGTCTTGCCTCTCCTTAAAACACTTGAGGTTGTTTGCAGTAATGGCTTAACTTCACCAATAAAACCAGAAAGCGGTGACAATGTTTTCACCAACAAAAAAGGTTGTAGTAGGCAAAAATAGTTCCCATGGCCACTCTTACAGTGTAATCATGGTGATGTCTACTCAGAAAGTGGGATTTACTTCCAGATGAGTGTATATAGGACTGCAGCCTTAATCAGCTCACAATCTTTCCTGAATAAGCCCAGGGTTGGTTGTGTGTCAAGAGGTGAGCAGTGAGGTAGACAAGCAGGCCTTTTGTGCAACCAAGGTGCCACAGTCAAAAAGGCCCTCTTGTGCACGCTTGGCCACAGTGCTTCAATCACATCAGAGCCCCCATCGATCACTTAATTGAGATGCATTCAGAAGTTGGGGCTTGAAAGCCCATGACATGCTGCCCAAAGTGAGGGTGGCATTGATTTCACATTGAATGCATGTGGAACTTAGGCTGAGATGGCCGCGCCCTATGTGTGTCATCAGAGCAGTTTGAACTAATGGCAGCTGTTGGGCAGTGGCACCAGAGGCCCAGCAGGTGACTCAGTTGCATCTTGCACTACCTGGAGCATCCAAGTGAGCCATTGGAGTAGCCCTACTTAGGGGGCATGATGGGACCCTGGCCTAGCTAAGCAAGACTTTTGCTTACTACTTTAAGCAAAAACAATGCATCTTGGTCATGTTGACTTAAATCTGGTTTTTTAATGTCACTGTTGTCCTTTAAAATTGAGGTGGTACCCTGGATCTTCCATCATGCATTTTTATGCAGTCCCTTGTGAACATACCAAATGTTAATCAAGGGGTGGTTTTAAAAAGCTTACCCTAGTCTCACTCATAGAGATTTTATTTTTCTTTCTAAATTTATCAAGAGGCAAGGGATTTTTTTAAAAAAAACTTTTCGTTATTTATATCTCTCTGTGGGGATTTGAAGAAAGCAGCTAGGGCAGCTAGATGCAAAAGAAATCTGGGCTCCTGTGCCCTTTAATGGTGGTGTTGGAGAGGGAATTTCAGCCAGGGTAGCTTGTCACGCACATTTATGGATGTTGCAGGAGCCCTGTCCTCTCGCATTGGGCCGCTCTAGTAGTGCCCTAGCTACGGTGTCCAGGCAGACATGCTCCATAAACTGTGAGACCAGTACTAACAGGTGGAATCCACTGTATTGTACGGTTTGTCTACCCTTGAGGAATTTGGGTTGCGTAGCAGGAATAAAGAGCCATGAATACAGAAGCTGGCCATACCTGGGTTAAAGGAGAGATGAGAGAGAAAAAACAGGACACTGGTAGTGATATCAGAGTGAGGCTTCTCAAAACAAGAAGGCTTTCATCTGTGTGCCCTTTGGAGTGCGGTGTACAAAGAGCCTCTTTATTTTCCCCAGAATCCCTTCGTCTTTAAATTTTGTCATGATGATCTTTCCCCTCTTCTCTCTCACTCTCATCCTTGACCCCAAATTAGAATGGAGCTTCCCAGCAGCTGACTGAATTGACTTTAGCTGGGCAAAGAGCTACACGTAAAGTTGCAGAACCAGTCCAGTCATTTAAACTAATCCCCTGAAATCCACACAAGATGCCATTAAAGATTTTCCACTTGGGTGATGGAAATTGTGCAGTGCATTAGGCAAGTGGATTTAGATTGCATGGGAAAGGCAGGGCTAAGTGGGGAGGGGGGTGGAGAAAGAGAGAGACAGTGACCCTTCCATGCCAACTGGAAGAAAGGGCAGGCAAATCAATACTATTTGCCACATACAGCAGCTAGAAAGAAATTTGATGCAAGGGGTGTGAAGAATCCCTTTGATCTCTCTTGCTCTGTGCAGTTCTTGAAAGGAGCTGTTGAAAGTGTACATACATCCTCTCCTTTCTCATCTCTCCTGCCCAGTTCTTTAAACCCTGCATTAGCTTCCAGCAGCTCCCCCAAATCTTCATTTGATTTCTCCTACCCAGGGCATTCACTAAGGAACAAGGCTCTGCATCTCAACAGGTTATATCCCTCATATTCTTCTGTTATATTTACACATACACAAACATAGGAGGATAAGGATGGAATCAGTTTAAACTTCCACCCAGCTTTTACTGTTTCTCTTCAAGTTGTGCACAGATGCCTCTTATATATGATTCTTAAAGAACGGGCATGTCCTCCCATTACTTAGCTTGTGTACATATGCCATAGGCTTTGTGCTGAGAGATAGCAGAGCTCCATGCAAAGGTAGATAAGTTTCATCATCCATTTTCTTCTCTGATTCAGGCAGGGCAAGGGCCTCCTTGACCATGGTGGTAAGGAATGCTCCCCTCATTATTAGTGGTGTCAAAGGCATCATCTGATAAATGCCCACAGAATTTGCTCAGTCAGCTTAACAGGAATTGAAACACAGGGCAGAGTGAGGCTTGCATTAAGCAGCAACCTTTACTGGAAAGTAGTATTGGTGCTGGCTACCCAAAAACTGGCTGCTGAGGAAGAAGAAGACGACAATGACGACAAATACAGTCTAGTGGTTTGGATGCAAGGCCCTTCATTTACTACCTTAGAATCTGACACGAAAAAGCCAGATTCTGCAAGTTCTCTGAAGGTAGATGAGAACAAATAAGTTACACAAAGGGTACAAGTAGTTGCTTTATAAAATTACATCAGACAGATCCTATAGGCATTAATGAAATGTAACCGATAAATTACCAGGGTAACCACAGAAGAGGCTGAATAGTTCTTCATATACAGTAGATTATTGATTCCATAAAATCTTCTGGGGTGTAAACATTTCTACAGAAATCTGCTGCAGTTGCTTACTGTAACCACCAAACATGGAATGTGATGAGGAGATGAGGACTCTGTCTATGGTGTGGCTGGGAAGAAACTCATTCTTGGTTAGCCTAACTTCATTTTCCCTCTGCTCTTGAAGGTGGAGGGTGTCCGAGACCGAAAGCCGAGTTTTCTCCAGGCTCAGAGCCGGAGCTGCACCGAGCTTCATAAGCACCTCACCTCCATCACAGCCCACTGCCCACACACAAAGGACAACTGGCCGCCGGACGAGTGCCACAGTGGCGGCACAGAGCCCCAGAGTTATTGTGCCCACCATGGAGAGGACAGCGACTCCGGTGAAGAGTTGCTGCCCTGCGGCAACATGGCAGCGACTCCGCCTTCTTCCTCCGAGGAAGGCACCGGAGAGAAGGAGCTGCACGCTACTGTAGAGCTCATCCGCTACATGCACACTTACTGCCTTCCCCCCAGAAAGCTGCCCCCCACAGACCTTGCCGATGCGAGACACCAGCATTTCCACAGCCCCTCCAAGAGGGCCAAGCCGGATTGCCCCCTGCAGCGGCCTCCGCTCTGCAGCAAGGACAGTTGCCCGCCCAGCTCTTGGCACCTCTCAGCGGGCTGCAAGCAGCCCAGAGCCCCCGCAGCCAGTTTCTCCATCCTGAAGGAGCTGCTTGCCAGGGACCTCCCTTGTGATGTGAGCAAGCCATACCGGTTGGCCAAGCCTGCATACGCCTCCTTGACCAGGTTGCAGCCACCCAAGGCTCCGGGAGCGCCTCCGCCCGAGGCTGCTGGGGGATCCACGGAGGCGTGCAAGTCCGCAGGCAGAATGCCACCAGAGGTGAAAACGGAGCCCAGGCAGGGCCCCAAAGCGGAGCCCGAGGTGAAGGAAGAGACTGGCAGCCCTGCAGAGGAGGAGGAGGACTGTGCAAAGCGTCCCCAGCTGGCCTTTGGGAAGGCAGGCCGCAAGCAGGAGAGCTTTATTTATGCCGTGCGGCGCTCCAAAAGACTCAACCCCGAGCTCAGTCTCTGGCTTTCCTTCCTTGACGACTCTCCCCCTGATCCGGCCACACCCCCTCAAAACAAAGTGGCCTCCCCAGAACTGTCCCTGTGCTCCTCCACTCTGCAGAACTTTGACAGGGAAGCACCAGCAGCAGAGGTTGAAGTGAGTGGTGCAGGAGAGGCAGAGGACAGGTATCAGAGTCTCCCGATGGAGCTGCAAACCCCCTCACCAGAGAGCTCCGGGGAGAGCGAAGCATGTGAGATAAGCGAGAGCCAGTGCTGCGCCCTTTTGCATCAGACAGGTACCCTAAGTCAGAGTCTGAACATTTGGGGAACTTGGGAAGGGATATACCTTATTCTGAGCCAGACCAATGGTCCATGCAGCTCAGGGTTGTCCACAGTGTCTGGCAGTGGCTCTCCAGGTCTTTCCCAGGCCTACTTGGAGATACTGTGGGTTGGCTCCTTCTGCAAGCAAGGCACATGCTCTTCGGTTGAGCTCTGTCCCTTCCTGTAAGGGAAGGCCCGTGCTTTGAGTCAAACACAGGGAACATATCCTGTAAAAGCTCATCGAGCACGGAGAGGGTGGGTTGTGGCAGTGTTGTGGCAAAGGAGGAATTCAGTACATTGGACGCTCGGGTTGCGAACGAGATCCGTGCAGGATGCACGTTCGCAACCCGCAGCGTTCGCAAGCCGCAGCATTTCGGTATCCGGGTTTCAGCAGGTCTTAACTGCGAAACGCACCAGAGGCAACGGATCTCACTGTGCGGATGGAGTTTTAGAAGTTACAATCGTGCACTTTCTGTCGCAGAGCTGCAAACAAGTCTGAGCTTCCAGCTTCTAAACCCAGGTGACTAGGAGCAAACCAGCGGGTGTCGAACCCAGGATAGACCTCGTGTTTCTTTATCTAACCGCAGTAAGAGTCCTGAATGGATCAGAGTTTCACGTATGAGTCCTTATCCCTGTGGCCAATTCTGGAATTTACCTTTCCTTCACAGCTTATTGTTTTGAGGGCGGGGTTAATCAGGCGGTTACAGGCTTCTCTTCCAATGAGCAGGGCAGATTTATCAAGAACTGCAAAGGCAGGTGGATAATCCCTGTTCTCCAGCCTGCAACCTGATCAATATCTCCTGCTGCCTTTAAGTGTTAAAAAAAAGATGGTCAGATTAGAAATCCAATCTTGTTTGTGTTTATCTCTTTCTCAGAGCAACCTAGTCACGTTCAAGCACGATGGTCACTGAGTCCATCTGCCCTTTTCTGTGTTTTCTTTCAGACACAAGGTATTGTCCTGCCCTTGGCAACAACGTAAGTGAAATACCAAAAATACATATTATTGGTGGAGGAGGATAGCCTCAGGTGTCAGGAACCTGGTAATGGCTGTCTCAGAAACTTTGCTGCCCTTTTCTTCTTTGGCGATCACTCGTAGCCGAGTAAGATTGTCTTCCATAAACACAGTTTTAACAATGAGTCTGTAAATGACTGTGGAGGCCAATTCTGGATCCACAAGTCCTTCCACAGTGGGGACATTGGTTTCCGGGCGGGAGTTGATCACGGTGTGGGTTTGCCAAGCATGCCTTCCTCTTAGCACGTTTCTCCCTTGTGCCCTAATGCATGCATGAAAATATAACATAATTGTGTGCAAATAAGTCCGCAAATGGTATTAGCCCATATACACTTTTTACTAGCATATGCTGGTCATTTGTGACTGTAGTAGCCTATAAGGGTGGTCATGGAGAGCAGTTTCCTTCTGGTTTGCAAAACTTTCACTGCATAGTTACCTGGAACCATTCCCTGCTCTCTGGTCCTTACCAGTTGCATGGCCATTTAGAAACCTGTTCGATGTGGCAACTGACCCTTGAAGGTTTGGCCAGAGTCACTTTATCTTTACAGCTTCCTTCTTTCTGGTTTAGTATGTGAATTGTGATGTCTCCATCTTTAACATACACCTTATCTCTTCCATGACCTCTACACTCTCCTTTTCTCCCCATCTTTAGAGAACCAACATTTGGAAAGCGCAATTTCGAGCAAGTTCTGACCGTAGAGCTGTGTGGCACTGCAGGTAAGGGTGGAATTCGCTTTAAGAGTCTGCCACATCCTGCAAAATGTGAAGAGAAGGTGGGCCAGTACCGAGGACCTCATGGTCAGCTAGTGACTTCAGGATGTTAATTCTGCATAATGCCATTGACTTGAAGGAAAGGGATCCCTTTCATCTGAAATGGCAGCTATCTAACATAAGTGCCTGTGTCCTCACCAACTCCTTGAGAACTGCTATTACCATTTCCCCAAGACAAGAAGCTAGCTGTAAACAGAAGTGCAGCTGGCCCAGAATCAATTATTCAGCAAGGTTTAAAGCAGGGTTCCCCAAACTTGGGTCTACAGCTGGTTTTGGATTATAATTCCCATCATCCTGGACCACTTGTACTGCTAGCTAGGGTTGATGGGAGTTGTAGTCCAGCAACAGCTGGAGACCCAAGTTTGGGAAACTCTGGTTTGACAGATGTGGTGGTGTACAATGAGGGAACAAGTCTAACTCCCCTTGTCAAGGCAGCTTTCTTGTTTGTTTTAACTTTCATGCTTCTGTACTGAAAGACCTTTATCCTTTTGCTTCCTTGGGGGAGATAAGGTCTCACACCACCGACTACTCCACCATACAAGCCTTCAGAGGAGGACCTGTATAAGCCAGACATTCACCAGAGGCCAGCCAAGGAGACTGCCATCATCACCAGCTCTGAGCCACAGCCAATGATGGGGGACAGGGCAGCCTCCGGGAAGAAGCAGAAGAAGCACCCGGTGCGGACAGAGTTGTACGCACACCTGAGTCGGTCCACCCCCCACCTGCCCCACCCCGAGCCACATGGGGTGCTGAAGCGCCCTTTCTCACGCTCTTTCGGCGACCACGACTATTGCCAGGTCTTGAAGCCCGAGGCCTCGCTCCAGAGGAAGGTGCTGAAATCCTGGGAGCCCCTGAGCCATGTGGAAAACAAACACAAGCGGAGAGCCCCTGATGTGCACTACCAGCACGAGAGTCAGGAGGGCGTCAATGGGACCTCAGTGAAGGAGGGAAGCCAGCAGCTGAGGGACCAGGAGATCAGGGCCAGCTTGACCAAACACTTTGGCCTCTTGGACAGTGCCCTCGATGCCGGGGAGGCGGCCTTCTGCAAGACGCCTGAATATGACACCGTCTTTGAGGACAGCTGTAGTGAGATTGGTTCCCCGCTGGAGGAAGAGGAGGAAGAGGAGGAGGAGGAAGAGTGCTGCACAAGTCCACTGGAATCCAAGATGTGCCCCTACAAGAACCCTCTTTCCAGGGCCAGTTTGCACTATTGCTCCCGAAGCAGGTCCGATTCTGAGTCTTCGTGCTGCAGGTCCAGGTCTCCAGCAAGCAGGTGGGCTTCCCTGCACAACTGTGAGTTCACAGGGTCTTTGGCGAAAGGGCTCAGGGAGACCTACTGCTTTACAGGTGGCCCTCTGGCAGAGGTGCTGACTTTTTGCTTATGTCTCTCCAGGAGGTGCCGTGCACATCCATGCTGCTTTATAGATAATACGATTACTCTGAAAGAGACTGGGTTGGGTGGGTCCAGAGATCCCTGTGAGCAAAGTTTCACTCACAGGACCTCTCACTTACAGAAGTAGCAGAAGCCATTTTTGCCAGTTCTCCTCTGCATCCCCTGAATATCTGTTTTGGAAAGTTGGAGAACCCTCGGGAACAGCCTGGGCAGTAGCAGAAGAGACTGAAGGGAGCAATCTCCTTCCCCCTTCCATTAGCAGTTTGCTCCACTAGATTGCCAGCCCCTTGTGTGAATGTCTCAAGCCTTTCCCTTTGCAGAAGAAATACTCTTGATAGAAGGGGGGAAAGAGGGAAGAAGCATCCAGGTGGGCAGAAATAAGTTTTAAGACCTTTTGCATCAGAATTGGAAGCCAAAGACTCAAATTGGTTGCATGGAGAAGAATTTTGAAGCATATTAGGCTCTGCAAATTTATTTCTGTCCACCCTTTCCCCCCTGTATTTGATGCCTTGCCGTTTCTCCTTTTTATGCTGGATGCTGGCGTTTGTCTTTGAAAGCCTGCTGTTGCAGACACAGCATTCTTTGTGCTGTGAGCCTGTCCCTGCAAGCAACAAGTGTGCCTCTACTTCCTTGTGATTTCTAGCGCTCAGACCAGCCAGAGTCCATTCAGGACTAAATTCATGTGCCTTCTTGTTTATCAAACAGATATGAAAATGGCAAGCAGTGTCAAGATGGAACTGTTGGACAGATGGAGAAGAGGAGAGAAAAAGCCATTGTAAGTGACCTGTTTGCTATGTGGGAGCTTCTGTAATAAATCAAGTGGGAATGGTGCGGTTTCCAACCAGATCGGTTGACTCCCTCTTTTGAAAATTCATCTGAATTTAGGGACAAAGCAATTTTGGTTTGACTCCCACTCCAAGTAGGAGTGGCACAGTACATGTTGCAGTATAGAATCATAGAATCATAGAATCATAGAGTTGGAAGAGACCACAAGGGCCATCGAGTCCAACCCCCTGCCAAGCAGGAAACACCATCAGAGCACTCCTGACATATGGTTGTCAAGCCTCTGCTTAAAGACCTCCAAAGAAGGAGACTCCACCACACTCCTTGGCAGCAAATTCCACTGTCGAACAGCTCTTACTGTCAGGAAGTTCTTCCTAATGTTTAGGTGGAATCTTCTTTCTTGTAGTTTGGATCCATTGCTCCGTGTCCGCTTCTCCTGGCCCAACACCAGTTTAAGATGATGAATTAGAAAGAAATAAAGTAAACATAACCGGCAACAGATTCAGTTCTTGACCCAGGAGAAACTTGGTGCCGAATTCATCAACAGGCACTTACAAAGAGCAGTGGGAATTGTGATTCCATGGCAACTTTATAGTGAAGCTGAAATGGGGTAAAGCTGCAGCTTTTGAAAGGGAGACATAAAATAAGACGATAAAGGGTGCACGATAGGCAAGCTAGCTGTGAAGCGCTAGCAGGCAGCTACTCCTCAAAGAGCCGTTTCAGCAGATAGAATTTGTGCATTTGTTACACAGCATCATGCTGCCTTGTTGTTAAAGCAGGTTGGGGGGATAGGAAGAGTTCAGTCGGAAGAAGAAGAAAGAGTTGTATCAGGACAGGCCTAAGCAATTATTCTCATCCCTGAACAGGGAGAAGGCCGCGTAGTGTACATCAGAAACCTTGCCAGCAGTATGAGCTCCACTGAACTGAAGAAGCGCTTTGAGGTGTTCGGAGAGATTGTTGAGTGTTGTGTTTTGACCAGGAATAAAAGGTGGGTCAAAGCTATGCTTCCCCCTCCCTCACTGCTATAACCAGCAGGAACTTTTGGAGATCTGAGCACCGGGAACCTAGCCTGTCTATCCTGTGAGACATGAGATGCAGGACTTCGGTCTTATTTGGGGAATGAAAGCTGGAGAGTGTTTTTTGTAGGGGCGACTCTGGAGATGTCTGTTCTTTGGGAAAGTGTCTGCTGCTGTGGTACAATGGTGATCTGAAGAGATGCTTCTTCACAGGATTTTAAAGAGACATAATGCTTTCTCCAGTGTTATTTCATGGGACTGTTGCCCTCTGAAATCCTTTTTGTTCTAGGGATCTGCTTGATTATAAAATAACGAGTCCCCCTTTCTCCTAAATAAAGAGAAATGTGGAGGCCTATATATCTGGACTCAAGGGTTCTAATGACCTACAAAGTGTGGCATGCAAGGAGAACTAGAGGGTGGTATTCAGCTAAGCCTTACTCAGAGTAAATCTGTTGAAACTATTGGACCTCACTTAGTCATGTCCATTCATTTCAATGAGACCAGTGTAGGCACCTGGCTTCTAATCCCTGGCTAACCACAAAGGCTCACTGGGATGTCTATTACCTTCCAGCTCTATCTACCTTCTTTGAGGAGAAAATGATGTGTCCTTTTGGAGGTTTACAAAAAACGTAACACAAATAAATGGCAGTAAATTGTTGCCTATGCTTAAGTTCTTCATTTTGTTTCTCAGGGGAGATAAATATGGCTTCATCACGTATCGGTGTTCAGAACATGCCGCCTTATCCTTGAAGAATGGTGCCTCGCTAAGGAAAAGAAATGAGCCCTTGTTCCAGCTGAGCTACGGTGGCTTTGGGCACTTCTTCTGGACCAGATACACCGACTTGGGTAAGCCACCCCCATGTCACTCCAAAGCGGTCCACGTCCTCCTCCATCCCTTGTTTCAGTGGTGATGATTTCTTTGCTGTGCTGTCTCCCGTTGTGTTTGTTATCATTTGTACATAATGCTCATTGACGGCCCAATCGGTTCACTTCTATTTATTATCATTGATGGTTTGTTTTAGCTAATAGGGGAATACCTTGAGTTATTACAGACATTCGATGGAGCTTCAGCTTGCTCACTTTCTCTGGCTTGTCACTATTTTGTTGTAGTTGTTTATATTCCAATTTATAGGCCTTTTTATTTTACTGGAAGGGCCTCCAAAGCAGTATACAGCAGCTATATAATACAATAAAAGTATTTTATGGTTGTATGAAAAGGCAAACCAACAAACCAACCCCAAACACATCCCAGATTAAGAATATAATAGGGAAAATAAAAAGTACCGCAATATTTAGGACCTACCTTATTTGTATTGACAAACACACAAAAACCAGCTAGGAGAACTGATGTCTTGCATTATTATAGACACTGTAAAATGTTACTCAAAATATTGGAAAAAACACATTCAAATCCTAGGAAAAAGAAGGGAAAGGACTGTGAGGGTCATGTTGTCCAACCCCCTGCAATGCAGGAATCTTTTGCCCATGACCCTGAGATTATGCTCCGGCTCCAACTGAGAATGGGGGGCAAAAATGTATTGAATTTGCAGGAATAACTAAGCTTACAAGCTATATAACAATGAAAGAACGTAGGCCGAAACCTAACAGAACTGGAGCTTATTCATTGACTAATGGAATGGTAGAGTGCATTCATCAGGCAATCATAGGTCCCTATACAATGTGTTATTTTAGGATTAGGAAGGACTGTATTTAATACAATAACACAATTATATACTGAAATATATATTGTGTATGTATTTCTTATTTATCTTAATATATGCTATGAAGCTGAGCCTTGTATGGCGTTTTACTTTTTAAAAAAAAAATACTATTTTTCTAAAAAGAACACAATAAATAAACAGTGACAAAAACAAAAGTTTCAGCAGCACAAAAATGAATTGCAAAACACAATCAGCAGGAATAAATCAGGAATCGAATTTCCTATTCCTCACTTGTATTTTAAAAAGTATTTTTGGAAAGTACAAAGGAATGCATGAAACAAGGTAATAATTTGCTGATATCTTTATTGTAAAGAATGCAGGGGGAGGGAGACGTGGGGAAGTCCAGTTGGTTATGAGAAAAATATCTTGGAAAGATGGTTTTTTCTTTCTTTCGCTTTTTGTCTTTTATTTTCTTTTTCTTTTTCTATAGCTTGTATCTGGAAAAAACCAATAAAAATATTGTTTAAAAAAATAAAATAAAAAGTATTTTTGAAAAGTATTTTTTTAAAAAATAAACACACATTTTGGTGTTTTGCTGAGCTGGGAATTGTAACCTGAAGGATAATTGAACTACAGTCCACATTATTAGTCCAGAAGGTGTGTATTTGACCAACCCACTTAAAAATGTGGGCCAAAGGGAATTCTCCTTCCTCCTTAGTTCTTGTTGTGTAGTAATTACATAATTCCTCCACACCAAATATCTGAGGAATGCTAATATTTAAAAAGAGAGAGAGAGAGAGAATGCATAATGTGGCTCTTCTCTGCCTCTTTTGGGGGGTGCTTAACAGGTTTTGCTTTTTCCTTTGACCAACATGTGTACTTCTTCTCTCGTGGCACCAGATTCCAACACAGAAGAGTCCTCCCCAGCTCTGATAAAAAGCAAATATGAAACCATGGATTTCGACAGCCTGCTGCAGGAGGCCCAGGAAAGCCTACATCGGTAACAGCCTTAACCTTTGAGGAATACCTCAATACCTCAGTCAAGGCACTTCCAATATGTTTACGTTTTCAAAGAAATGATTAAGTATACAACGAGAGAGAGAGAGAGAGACTGCTGTCCCTTTAAATCGATGTTTACATTGAACAAGCTGCTTCTGTCTGTGAGTCCCCATGGTGTTGATGTTCCACTGCCACACATTAGTATCTTTGCTTCTGACTGGTTGTGTTAGGATGAGCCTGCAAAAGCCTCCTGTCCCCTTCTTGTCCGGCCCCTTTCTCTGCCCCACCGTTACCCCACTTCCGCCGTGGATTTGCAGCTGTGTTCACCATAACTTTTTTTTTGTCTGTAGTGTGTGATGATGAAATTGTTAATTGTGAATAGAATCAGGATTGTAAACTAATTTTTAATAGAAGAAAGAAATATATACTTATAATGTATTTATGGCTCAGATGTACTGTAATTCAGATTTATTGTACCGCTTCCTTGATTTTTAACTATGCACTGTAATGAGGCACTTGCCTGTCAGCAGATGTGGCCCTCCCCAAAGGGTGCCCTCCAATTGGCCACTCAGTTGAAATTGGCTTCAGCCCTGTCCATGGCGAACCAAGGGGTGACCGACTGATGTTGTGCTCTTGCTATATAAGCCATTTGTTCCGTTTCGTTTGGGCTGAATTCTGGGATCACCACTGCCCTGTTTGTTGATGGCACAAGGCACATTGTGATTCCTCAGTCCAGAGCTGGCTCTGGGTGGATAGGAATGGCGTTCTCAGGTGGTGCATTTTTGAGGAAGGGGAGGGAGGAAAAAGGTGCAAGGGGAGAGTGTGTGTTTTCCCGCTGTCTATGATGGATTGGCAGTGGTCACAAGGTAGTGAAGCCCCACCTGCCAGGGAAATGGTACGTAAGAAAAGCTCCCCTGGATCAGAACAAAGAAAAGCTCCTCTGGATCAGAACAAATGCCTATCTAGTCAAGCATTCTGTTTTGTGCCATGGGCGACTAGATTCCTAAAAGGTAATAGTCCTCTCCTTTTGATGCTCTCCAGCAATGTATGAAGGCAGTAGTCCTTTTGTTTGCTCTCCAGCAACTGTTACTCAAGAGGCATTCTGTCTTTAAACTTGAAAGCTCCGTATAGCCATCGTGACCAGTAGTGCAGGAGCACAAGTCTACAGCAAGACTGAGAAAGTCTGAGAGCCAATCCCAGAACAATTATGCCCAGAGGTTTTTTTGCATTACATCTACCATCTAATGATAGCAGCTGCAGTTTCGCCAGGTCCATGTGGGAGTTTGAGGTAGAGGAACGTGGAGCAATTCATTTAAGGCCATACATGACATCACCAGTAGCCTCAGGAATAGTTTTTTACCCATCTGGTCATCTAACCAAAGCAAAATCTCCTGCCTGGTGGGCAACACCCAACAGAAAAAAAGTTCAAAGGAATTCTCACACCTTGGGCTGAGTGAGTTCACTGTGCTTACAACTGGCACATAGCACATGGCTCATCAGCAGTCCCTGCTCCATTTTGAACACTACTCTCCTTATGAGTGGAATAAGCCATAAAGCATAGTGTCATTGCTATGAAGCCTTGTGAAGCGACTTCCCCTCTCTCTCTTTCTCCCGCTCCCTGTCAAGAAAGGCATGGATGTCACTGCCTATTTGATGTTCCTTTTGACTTCCTCTTGGCGGCGATCTTGTGCCCTCCTTTATTTCTTCCCTGGCTTCTCTCATATTCAGAAGTTTGAGGAGTCATTACAAAGGAAGTCTTAGAGTGATTTAAGCAACTAGTTTAGGGGCTCTTTGATACGAACCGGGGTGCTGGGACAGAGGCAGTGTAGAAGCCTCTAGCTCAGAAGACTGAGTAGTGGGAAGGAGTCGCTATCTAACTTCCGCAATTGTTTCACTCAAACATAGCTCGGACTTGCCACAATATACTGTGCTAATGCCTCATGCAGTATGGCTGTTCTCGTGCTATACTTGGAAGCAATGTCCAGGGACATGAGAGGCAGACCAAGAAACCAGCAGGTGCATCAAGAGATAGCATTTTCGAGTGGGGACCAAATAACCTTGCTAATACCTTCATCAGCCACCATGTCTTTGGTTTATTTTTCACAAAGGATCTCTGGCATTTAGCCACCCCATGTATACAGAATGCAACAACCTTAATTCGGCCAGCAGGTATTTAATCTGAATCAAAAGGTACAAATTGCCAAAGACCTTGGCAACTGCCTGGCTTAGGTCTAACTCATGCTTGCCTGTCTTGAGTAATTCCATTGACCCAGTAAGGACCACACGCATCAGAAACACCATGAATGAGGTCAAGGCGTCAGCTCATGTGTTATCCCATTCTAATTATGTGATCGTTTCTGTCTTTTAATGTGGAGCTTTAATAACAACAGTGCTTATTTTATATAGTAACTGATGTCACAATTTCACGTGTTGTTGGCCAAAAATAATAATAATAAACCTCACGATATTGGCTGCTTCAATGTTGCTTGCACCACCTCCATTCGAGAACTTACTGATGGATCGCAAGATCCTCTCATGATCAGCCCAGAGCAAAATCTGGCCCAGACAAAGCATCTGCTGTTGACAAGTGCCTCATTGTAGCTCTGCCTTTTTCTGTCCTAGTATTTCCTCACCACAATGATGTTTACATGTGATTGCTATAGAGCTTACTGTAGAATGTACATAGCGACACATTTAGGGTGGGTAGGACTGTCCTGTCCTGTCCTGTGCTGTGCTGATGTTTTCAGAGAACAATCGAACAGAAGAAGAAGAAAAATAAGTAACCACCCCTACAACCGTTAAGTGGAATTCTTCCATCTCCTGGCTTGGTTACAAGGGTAGATCAAAGTTCACCGCTGGCTTTGGTCAGAGAGATGGAAAATGCATCAAATTTCTGAGCATGCTGAAAGTGTTGAATGCAGCTGCAGAGAAGGAAGAGTCCTTCTGCTCTCCAGAAAGAGCTGCCTTCAGTGCAGATCGCTTGCAAACATGGGTTTGTATTTAATCCGTTTTTATTATTATTATTATCTCAAGTTTCTTTTAAGAGGCTGGACTTACCAATGATGTTAGAGCATGCACACGCATGCCCTTTTGAGGAGGGAAGAAGGTCCTGTAACGCACATGGCCTCTCAATCCTAGGTATAGGGAGAGGTGCAATAAGTGGTCTTTGTGTTGCCTGAAGCCTATAAAAATATTTATTTTAATTTTTTGTGAGAAATTTCACTAGGACTTTATGCAATATGCACACATGTGCACAAACGCACACATGTATAGGGAAAAGGTAGTGGCGGGGCATTGAGCCCCTCTGACTGCTGCTGGGTACAGCAGCAGCAGCTGTAAATCCACCACTGTTGAATGTAGAGCCTGAGTGGTATGGTTTGAAAAGCACGGACATCTAATGCTGGTTGTGGCACACTAGTAACCTGTGGCTTATTTTAATGGCTATTGGAAGCACAGCTAAGTTTGTATCAGCCACAGGGATACAAACAGTTCTAAAACCCTTGGCTATCAGAAGCTTGGAAAGTTGCTCCATATGGGAGAATTTTAGGCAGCAAGCCTGTATTCAGGGTATATTCCAGGAGGGTCCTCTATTTCGTAAAGCAGCAAGCTGCTGTGCTCCACATGCACAGCAAGAAGTAGTTTGAGCTTCTGGTGGTGAAAAAAACAAACCCCAAAACTCAGTTCAGAATGGCACAGGAATCGGAAGGACCACTTTGATATAGTGGATGTCCTAGTTCATCCCCACGAATTAGAGCAGCTGAGTGGATACCTTTTTAACAGACCTACAGAACTTGTGGCTTGCCAAACTACCAGCCTGCCAGAGGCCTGGTCAGGGGTCAAAGTGTCCTGCAGGCCTCCATAGATGGCTGGCATACCTTGATGGGCATGGTGGGTTCCACAGTCCTGGCCTATAATACAATAGGCATTTTGCTCATACTGCGAGGACAGTGGTAGGGTAGCAGTGCTCCCCTGACTTCCCGCCAGCTGAGTGGCTTGCTGCTTTCAGGAGGGTTGAGGCAGTAGTGGGGGCTCAGTGTGGTGTACAAGGGAACCAGCAAAGCCATCAGCAGTTGAGTGTCACCACCACTAGTGTGTGAGGAGCTAGTTCTCTTAGTGTCCAAAAACCACAGTGCAGTCCCACACTTGCTGAGCCTGAAGCCCCTAGCTTGCTGCATTCAAAGCACAGGTTGGAGATGAGAAGGGGGAAAGGAAGTTTATTCCTTATTTAGGTTGGGGGAATTAAAATGAGCTTTACACATTGCTATAGCCATCACTGCCGCCAACATGTTTGGGCAGATTTAAACCTTGGTGCAGTTCAGCTCATTTTGACTTCCCAAGGTGGCCGCACGTTGAGGCTAAGAAGAGTAGCCGAGCGTCCCCTGCCCCCATTAGCTAAAGAAGGACCTTAATTACCTTTATGGTTACTTCTTCTGCCCTGTTTAGAAAGAGCTTGCGCTCTTGTGCTTTCCGTATACTTCTGCAAAGTCTACCTAACTTTCTCCCATATTCTTTCTCTTAATAATATGCATAAAGCCAAGGACCCCGTACTCAAGGGGTAGGCCTAGCCATAAGAACAATTAGCAGCAGAAACAAACCAAGCCTTTGCAAGATCAGGTGAGAAACCAAATAAACAAATTAAAAGAATTCAATTTTCCAGGGTGTTTCGGAATAAGAGGGTGTGTTGAGAAAGGCAATCATGAGGGAGACATTTATTTTTTTAAATAAACAGAACTATCTCTATATTATATGTAGGGGTGTGCGTGTGGGTATGTGTGAGTGAAAAAGAAGTCCCTCCTAACTGCTTCTTAATTAGGAAAAATACCTTAACGATAGGAATAAGTCATAAGCCATTTCCTTGCCCTTGGTCCTTTAAATAACCATGCTTTTATGTGAAACGCAAATGGTTCCTGCTAAATTCAGCAACCAGACAAAGGAGCGAATGCAGGCATCAGAAAAAGAAGATGCATGCAAAAGAACTGGGTTCCCAAACGTCACTTTCATTGTCAGTCGATGGAAATGTTCATCCCACTTTCCCTCTTAGAGTGACTGTCTTGAGCTTTGCTACCTCCATGAAACTTTCATGTCAGCTTGGTCATGTGTTTCCATGATTAGCATCCAATTTTCTCAGTAGCCCATGTCAAAAAGCCTTAGAGGAATCAGAGAGCAAGGACACATTTTCATTTGCCAGATGAAAATAACAAGTCCTTAATCTGTAGCTGAGCATTTCCTCCATTTGTTCTTATAGCAGGGTAGTCTATTTGTGACACACTTTAGCAATATGAGCATTCAAAGCCTTCTGCTTTCCCATCAAGGTTCTGCAAATAATTGTTTGTTTAGGCCTCGTTCTCATTTGTGTGCTTTTCGACAATTTCCCCTGGCATCATTTCCCCCACATCACTGATGCCCATGCATCATCTTAACGTGACTTTTGGCCCAACCATAACATTTTCATGTACGTATGGTTGCAGGTACCTCCTTGCACTTAAGGGGGCAGTGTGCCCCCTCCCCCAAAGTAACCTGGGGGCTTATGCATTTTGCATTTTATAGCTGGAAGTCTACCGTTAATAGTGGACAACAGAAATGCACTAGAGGTGAGCACCTATGATGCTCTAACAAATTAATGTGTTGTAGAATAGATGCTACAAAAACAAGTGCACAAGCATTGCTGCATGTCATGCAGCTTAGGGATGGGATCTCTATGACTGAGGTTGTCACTAACAGCCTGCAAGTGAGCTTGCCACCTGACTGCAGGTGGGGGGCTCACATGATTGAAGGCATTTCCGTACGCTCCCTGCACATGAAAAATGAGCATGTTGGGGGGAAAGGTTATGTGCAGAATCTCAGTGAAAACTCGGCTATGCCCTAGTGTTAAGGAGCAAGCTATCCAATCTGGCTTGGGTGAATTTATCACGGTATCGTGCTGTCACCCTAAACTTTGTGCCAGTGAGGCAGACTAAATCAAATGCATCCGCCTCGCTTAGGTTCTCTGTCCTTGGAATGCATAGCACATGTCATTGATGGGGGAGCCTGTGTTGTTAGATGTTATTGGGGTACAGCTCTCATAATCCATGACCATGGTTCATGCTGGCTGGGGCTGATGGGAGCTGGAGCCCAACAACATTCAAAAGGTCACAGGTTTCCCCAATCCATTACCTAGGCTGTGATCCAATGAGCAAATGGAGCTCAAAAAAAGAGAAAGAAATAAGGTTGCTCCATCTTCTTCATTATGGCAGAATTCTGTCTTTCAAAGCTTTACACAACATTGAAGAGAATGGGTAGGCCAGTTTTCACAGAGCTTCACATGCATAAAAATGCACCTGTACTACTAGATTAGCCTATTGAATTTTTGAAGGGTCAATTTACACTGAAGGTTTTGGTCCCCGCCCCCCAAAAAAGTCAAAACGTTTCCCATTTCCTCATGGAGGAAACTATGTCTGGTGTGGATAGCAAGGCAAACCCCTGTAGAGTCTGGTTTTAATGCAGCCACTGGTGCTTTAGGTGGCATTATTTATTGGAAAAGTGAAAAAGAGTGAATTAATACCACTGTTTGCAGCGTGTGTTTATGAGTGTATGTGAGCCAGAGAGAGTGAAGGAGACTAAATTGATGCATTTCTTAAGAAAGGTGTAAGAATTTCACCTAAAAGAGGGGCACATTTGCTATGTTATTTATAATAAAAACTAGATTTTACTTTTTTTTGTTTTTTGAAGAGGACACTGCTAATAATTAGAAGGGGCCAATTCTGCTTCTCTTTTACATGTATTAACTAAGTGATAACTTATTTCTTGGTAAGTAAAAGCAGCAGGATTGACCCCTTTTGTAATCAATAAAATCAAGTTTTTAGTTCACTGTTTTAAAAAAAATAGTAGAAGATTTTTATATTTCACTTAATTTCCCCCCAGTTGTGTTCTGTTGTGTCCTTATTTATGTAATATACTTTAACCTTAATCGGCATAGATTCTTATGCCTTTCCTTTGTTATTGTCATTTTTTAAAAGAAATATTTCTTTCTAGTGTGATTTCAATGTCTACCTTCTAAATGAGAGAACGTTTTCTTGTATTTTTACATTGTCAGATTCTATAGTTTCGTAGATGATTTAACCAAATTGCTCAATGTATTCTCTATATCTATCTGGTAGGTATATAAAAGTTCTATTTTAAATTGTGTAAATACTTCAGAACTGGCTTCTTTTTGAAACTCCCCTGCCGTGGAGTTACTTGTTTACATCACAAAGACTGTAGAATCTCTACATTCATGTACTGTAAATAGTGAAGTGATCTGCCTATAAATAAATAAATCATAACAAATATACTATGAAGTCCAACACGTCCTGCTTGCTTGCAACTCTGTGTGGATTTGTGTGTACATTTTTGGGAGGCTTTCTGCTCCTAAATTGCACCCATGTCCTCTCTATGAATCGGCTGGAGTCTGGTGATCCTCACACCTATCGTAGGCCTTGTTTACAGCTATAGAAGACAGAGGTGTCTTCTGAAAGATGCCAGCTTATGGAACAGCTGTAGTCTTTGATTTCTAATAGAGATCAAGATTAAGTGCCCCGTGCAGAAGCTCTGACACTGCTTTGAAGAGGTCCACAAGAAGTAAGGTTACAGGGAACCAGGCAGAGGGCCTTCTCGGTAGTAGTGCCCACCCTGTGGAACACCCTCCCACCAGATGTGAAAGAGAAAAACAACTACCAGACTTTTAGAAGACATCTGAAGGCAGCCCTGTTTAGGAAAGTTTTTAATGTTTGATGTTTTGTCACTTTCTTCTTTTTCTTTCTTCCTCCTCTTCTTCTTCTTCTTCTTCTTCTTCTTCTTCTTCTTCTTCTTCTTCTTCTTCTTCTTCTTCTTTGGGAGCCACCCAGAGTGGCTGGGAAAACCCAGCCAGATTGGTGGGGTATAAATAATAAATTATTATTATTATTATTAGGATGATTTTACATTATTCACATGCTTCATTGGCAAAGATAACACTCTGTGACAAAAGGGGCAATGGATGCAGCATGCAACCCTTGGATCCCCATAATGCTGTTTGGGGATCTTTCCCTTGACCCCCAAGTATTAACTGATCTCCCAAGTAACACAAGAGGCAGGGCCAGGTGTTTAAAAAACTTATCATTAATGAGAAAAGCAACAGACACCAAACATAGCTCATTTTAATTCAAAAGTGCCAAGACAACTGCTCCATCTCCAGTTGTTGTTTCATCCTCCTCCTACCACCTCAGGGTCATTGCTTCTCCCTGACCCAGCCATAATTCAGCAGTTTGGGTTTTCTGATTAATTGTTTTCAGGTTTTTGTGGGGAAAGTGCTGCGGGGCGGGGAGTGCTTGGACATGGACTTGGAAAGCTGGGACCTGTGACCAGAAATGCAGAGCAAAGGTAAGTGTAGATGAGCCCAGAGTCAGGTTTCATTCCACTGCAAAAGTGCAAGCATTGCAATTATGCTTCAGTCATGCCACAAAGCCCCAGGGGGATGGGATTGTCACTGTACACACACAACCCTCGGAGCACTTTCTGCGCTCAGCCTTGGAACTTGGTGTGTTTATTATTCTGCTAACAGGACGAAAGAGTACTTTGGAGGTGTGTGGGCATGGGAAGAAAGAGCCAATTGTTATTTGCAGAATAAAAGTGTTTGAGCAGAAAGGAAAAGGAAAATGTAGCAGAAAGCTTAAAGAGACCCCCAGCTGAGTAAGTAACATTGGGTAGAAAGGAAATGATATAATCATTCAAATGTGCGAAATTGTATCTTGCAAGTGTCCCTATTTACCAGGACTCTCTTTATGTTCTGGTCCCTGCCCTTATCTGCGATTGTGAGAGATGTTTTCAGAAATGCCGTCCATGTGCAAAAATCCTCATTTCAGACCCCTCTGCTCTCTAGGCATTAAGGACCAGAATAAAATACTTTGGTGTGCTAGCAGAAGCCAGCATAAGGACTCTTGCTTGCACAGCAGGGTGCCCCTGCACACCTCTGCTCCACTTCCAAATCCTCAGGGGCTTGGATTCTGGCAAATATATTGCAGCGATGTGCAGAAAGGAGTAGCCCATTAAGGCTGCTGGTTATTCCCCGTGACAAACAATGCCATTCTGAGTACTGTATAGGTTTTGCATGTAGACAAGATGGAGCCAGGAAGTGAACACTAGCACCCGCTAGCTCATACAGTGGTGCCTCGCAAGACGAAAAGAATCCGTTCCGCGATTCTTTTCGTCTAGCGGTTTTTTCGTCTTGCAAAGCAACCCCATTAGCGGCTAAGCGGATTAGCGCTATTAGCAGCTTAGCGGCTATTAAAGGCTTAGCGGCTTGGCTGCTAAAAGGCGCTTAGCGGCTTAGCGGCTTAGAAAAAGGGGGGGAAAGCGGGGGAAAAATGGCGAGACTTGCAAGACGTTTTCGTCTTGCGAAGCAAGCCCATAGGGAAATTCGTCTTGCGAAGCGCATCGCAAACGGAAAACCCTTTCGTCTAGCGGGTTTTCCTTCTTGCGAGGCATTCGTCTTGCGGGGCACCACTGTACTCAAAACAAGCTTGACTTGGGAGAAGCAGGAAGGAAGTAAAGCCTGAAAGGAAGGGATCTACTGTGCTAACAAGTAGTTACTAAAGAGAAAGAATCAGAAAGGGGGAAAATGGGTTGCCTTTCTATTTCCCACCCACCCCAGTTCAGGAAGCTTATTGCAAGCACTGTATAATTTTCAAATGTATTTTTAATTGTATTTTTACAGACATACTATGGACTACCTGAATGAAGCTCACTGACCATTGGTGGTCCACAGACCACAGTTTGGGAACCTCTGCTCTCTCATATAGTGTATGTTTTTTTAAAAAAACAGAGGAAAAGCAGTATGGGGATTGCATATGCACTTCTCATGTTTTACAGGTGTGCAGACCTCTGCAGTCTCTCTGGGTGAAGCTCCCACAGGCTCTGCTAGGCATGATGCTTCCTAATCAGGATTTCTGGGACAAGGTTATTAGCATTCAGATGAGGGTGGCTGGTTTCGCCTTACTCTATATGGGCAGACACATTAAAATAAGGGCATGCAGGAAAGCAGCCTGGGCAATGATCCAAAGGTAGAGGCAGTCTTCTACACTTTCCTTCACACAGAGGGAGGGCCCAAGGACTACTCTGTTTTGCCATGTCTGGCTGTAAGCACTTGACGTCACGAAGTGCCAACCCTCAATTTTCTGTTTTGTATAGCAATTTAGTCACTTTAGTCACTTTTATTTTGTGATCTGCCTTTGAGCATGCTATTGGAAAAGTGGGATACAAATTTAACAAGCATAGATAGATAGATAGATAGATAGATAGATAGATAGATATAGATAGATGTTGTAACACACCTTGGGATCTTACAGTGAAGGGAGGGCCCACAGTACAATACAATACAATTATAATTAATAATATTTGGTCAAACATGAGGTTCTGATACTCGTATCTTGATAAAAGCACCATAGGTGCCTGCACAAAGTGATATTTTTCAAAACATACATAGGATTCTCTACTCTATAGCACCACACAAAGAGAAAACTGGATTCTTTAAAATCTACCTCTTCAGTTTGATTTTAATGAAGGGTCTTAGATGCAAGGTTTCCTGGATTTGTTTTGTGAATTGTTTGTATGCTGCCTTATTGCTTGAGTGCCTTATGCTTTCTTTTATTTTCTGTTGTATTTAAGTTGGTTTTCTTGGAGATTGTAAGTCACTTGTGGAGGAAGTTCCACAAAAAAGCGGAGTATAAATCTTTAAATTTTAAAAAACCCACCAAATAAATAAAATAGTAGACATCTTCATTGGAAGAGCTGAGTCTATTGTGCCAAATACATGGAAATGTTTTTTTATAAAAATAAAAATCCTGCAGGTTTCCTTTCATTGAACTGGAGCTTAACTAGTCTGCATGGATTTTGGATCCATGGCAGGGAGACAGCAATGGAATTTGAAACAACCACCTGCTGGAGCATGGTGACACACGGCATACATGGCCGTCCTGTGTCCCTGAGCTGGGGCTGCAGGAGTTCTCTTAGGACTCTGCCCAGGGCATACCGAACACAGTGCAGGAGTCCAAAGCCAGCACCTCCTACCCTGTGTTCAAGGTTCATGCCAGGTTGTCAACAGAGAGCTGCCAGTTCCTCGCTGCCTCCTCAGAAGGACAAGCCTCCTTGGAAGCTCAAAGAAAGGAGAATCATGATTCCCTGCGATTTCTGCCTAGGGAAACCTCACTCAGCGGAGAAGAAGTGTCTGACCTGTGAGGCGTCCCTGTGCCGGGACCACCTGAGGAAACACAATTCAAAGGCCACCCAGAAGAACCATGCCTTGGTGGCTCTTGGGACCGCTGGGGCCCAGGAGGAGAAGAAATGCCCAGAGCATGCCATGCTGCTGGAATGCTTCTGTCAAGACGACTTGGCATGTGTTTGCAAGGCCTGCTCCACCACTGGCTCCCACAGCAGCCACAGCGTCGTCGCCCTGAAGGACGAGTACGACAGGCAGATGGTAAGGGGCTTCAACCGGGCATGGAGCGTTCCAAAGAGGTCCTCCAATTAAATGTAACAGGGAGAGATGTTTTAAACAGAAACGGGTGTCAGAATGTGGAAGTAATGAAAGGGATCTTGCAAGACTTTGAAACAAATAGTATTGGGGGGGAGAAAACGAAGCAAAAAACATCAAGCATCAAGTAGCATTCAAAGCCTGATAACTAAGGAGTAGCAAATTATACTTGCGGGGTGTTTTTCTAATGGTGAGGCATGTATTTATACAAATATGTAGTCAGGGGAAGGGATGTAGCTCACTGTGATAGAGCATGCGCTTTTCACCCAGAAGGTCCCATTGAGAAATGACACCAAACCAACAGTGGAGACTACCTATAGACCTTGCTTAGCCTCAGCACTTTCTGCAGGTATCTTTATTTCCATGCTTGACAATGTGTTTGTGCATTACAGTTCCTGGCACTGATCATTGACTTTTTCTCCCCCTCTGAGCATGGCAGTATGCCAGCCAAGATTAACAAACACTCCACTCTGTGTTAACAGCCCTTCCCAGGGAACACCTTATCAACAGCCCCTGATAGATTAGAGCACAATTTTGCAAAAAAGTTAGTGGTAACTAATGCCATTGCTTTTAATTTATGGCCTTCTGTAAGAACCTGCAGCCTGTTTCTAGAAGAACAAATTTTCTGTTTGCTTGTTGTTTGCCACCCTAGGCTCCTTCAGGAGGAAGGGCAGGAGATAAAAAAAAATTACAAAATTACACAAAAAAATAAAAGTTCTGCTGAGGCTAGTGGGACTTTGACCAGGATATGGGGACAGAAGAGCATCTCTGTGTACTTAATTGCATACTTGATTGTGCTTTAAATCATTAGGAGTCTAGCTACTTGGGAAGAAGACCCAAAATATTATTTGAAAAGACAAATAAAGCAGAAATTCACCATCATGGCAGCCCAAACATACAAATGGAGTTCAATGGGGGTTATTTCCAAGTCAATGTGCATTCCATTCTCAAAATGCAACCACAAGCATCCTTGCCAGGATGCATGGCATCCACCTGAGAGTTCTCAAGGAACTCAAATGTGAAATTGCTGGTCTTCAAAACAGAAATATGTCCCTCGGATCAGCCTCCATACCAGAAGACTGGGAAGTAGCTAATGCAACGGCAGTTTTAAAAAAGGAATTCGGGGGGTGGTCCTGGAAATTACAGGCCAGTTAGCTTAACGTCAGTCTCTGGAAAGCTGGTGAAAAGTATTGTTAAAGATGAACTAACCAAGCACATAAAAGAACAAGCCCTGCTGAAGCAGAGCTAGCATGACTTCTGCAAGGGAAAAGCCTGTCTCACAAACCCATGAGGGTGTCAACAAGAGTGTCAGCAAGCATATAGACAAAGGTGATCTGGTTAACATAGCATACCTGGACTTTCTAAAAAAGTTTGACGAAGTATCTCACCAAAGACTCCTGAGTAAGCTTAGCAGTCAAGAAATAAGAGAAGTCCTCTTGTGGGTCAGGAATTGGTTAAGTTGCAAGAAGCAAAGAATAGGAATAAATGGACAGTTCTCCAAATGGAAAGAAGTAGAAAGTAGAGTCCCCCACGGATAGGAATTGGAACCTCTGCTATAGTTGATTAATCTACCAAATAAACTTACTGAAATGTACAGTTCTGTGATTTCCCTTCTGTTTTTCTCTTAATCAGGCAATTCTCTCACGGATTATGAAATCAATGCAGGAATACAAAACTGCCACAAAGAAGACACTCCTACAGCTTCAGAAAAGTGAGGATCAGATAAAGGTTTGTGCTGTAACTTCATGACGCCATGCATCACTCTCAGGTCCCAGGTAGAAAATAATGAATGTGTCTCCAATATGCTTCTCCATCCAGCTCCCCAATCTTTTCATTTTAACTATGCAGCACTTTTGGCCAGTGACTCTTTTCACCTGAAGGTTTATTACCTGAACATCTACAGTATCTATCTATCATCTATCTATCTGTCTGTCTGTCTGTCTGACTGTCTATCATCTATCACACATGGACACAGATTTAGTTAGTGCACGTTCTATTTACTGTCTGGACAGGCATGTGTTTCTACACCCTCTTCAGATACTTAACCTCAGAGGAAGGACTGGGTTTTTTAAAAATGGCAACTCTAGTGCATGTGTATGTGCACTTTCAGTTTTTGTTTAAGGCATCCCTAAAACCTACCTAACAGCCAAGTTAGGGACAAAGTAAAGACAGTAGTTTACCAGGGACAAGTACCCGAAAACATGGGCTCTCCCTGGTTAAGAGTGTGTGACCACTAACAGACACTAGGGGGCTTCCAAGGCAGCACTTCATATCACAGACCCACACAGAGCTTGTCTGAGGCCTGGGTTGGGAGTCTTGTTAGAATAAAGTTAAAAACTCAAACAGAAAAGCAGCTGGGCCCAGTGGCGGAGCTTCATGCTCCAGCACCGGGGTGGGGAGTGGAAAGCAGGCGGGGGCAGGGCTGGTGCACATCCTGGGGGTGTGACGTGCCACCCACAGGGACATGACGTGCATCCTGGGGGTGTGGCACGCTGCCTGCAGGGGCGTGGCACCCAGCATGAGCGGAGGCAGCCGCGATGGGGCTACCCCACCGGGATCGCGCTGCCAGGGGCGGTGCGCTCCCCCCGCACTCCTCTTCCTCCGCCAGTGGCTGGGCCAGCTTAGCTCTCCAAGGCCCCGGACAAGGGCTGCTGCTGCCTGTGCACAGCCCTGCATATCAGGCAACCTTTTCTGCCACAACAGAAGGCTGGTGAGATGTGAGCCTCTGGTACTACTTTGGTGCATGTGCTTCAGTTGCTGGGAAACCAGCAGGGCATGAGAAAAAGAGCACCCAATGGTAAGGAAGCCAAAGTCAAGCCAGGGAACAGGCAAGAGATCCCAGCCAAGGCGCAAGGATTCAGTGAAAGGGGGCAGTGGGTGAACCATTACAACAGAACCAGAACTCCCAGCTGTACCAGACAGCAGAGATAGGCTAGCTGAGGCTGATGACACCAGGTTGGGGGAGGTTGTATTAGGATCTGGGAATTAAAAAGCTCTGTTGACATGAAAGCTGCAGTCCTATGCACACTTACATGGGACTTACTCTTGAGTATATTTGCATAAGTTTGCACTGCACATTACTCAGTGGCGGTAGCCACAGGATAACTGAGGCAAGAATACTTTGGTGTGATCTTCTGAGGGGTGTGCCCACAGTGCTTTTCAGAGTGACTGGCAACATACTTGGGAGGTTGCTGAGAGCTATAAACTTGATAGCTTGGTGGCCTGTTTTGCGGAAGCAATATGTAATTTTTCCCTATAAAAATGTTATCTGACATATATAGTCTCCACACCTTTTAAAATAATGGTTGTTTCCTAAGGGAGTTTTATGAACAGGGGAGGGACTGTGACCACGGAGCTAACGATCCTTTTTAGCCTAGATAGGGAAGTATTGCTCAAGACACCCCGGGTTTATGCCCTAAGTCCAACAATTCAACTGTAATAAAAAGTTGCCATCTTACTTTCCTTAGAACAATAAGAAAACATTGACAGATCAGCTCTCCAGGATCTTCCAAGAGATCAAATCTCAGGTAGATCAGAAGGAGAAGCAGATCCTAGGTGACATCCAGTCCAATGAGAAAAAGCAGCTGGCTGACATGGCGGCTCTGAAGAAGCAAGTGGCAGACAAGAGGGACATGGCTGCCCAGGGCCTTCGGGAGCTACAAGCACTAACAGAGAAAACAGATGCTTGCCTCTTCCTCAAGGTGAGCAGCTTTTTCTCCCCTTCAAGTTAGCAAAGTCTCATTTGCTGGATGCCCCCCTTTCTCTGCGTGCAATAAAAACAATTTCTTTGTTTCTTTTTGTCTTTCTGTAGGATTTTCAGCTAGCCCAAGAGAGGTAAGTTGCACATCACACATTCCCCTTCGTTTGCCTGTCACATAGACTACACTGCTCTCCACATGTATGTGGTTTCATATGGTGGTCCACTGAATGGACTCACTGCCAGGTAATGAGAAGCTTGGCATGATGGGAGTCTTTTCTCGTCCTCCTACATCTTCTGAAAGTATTAGCTTCCCTACCTTCAGGAATGTGCTTTTGCCTCTTCAGTAGCAATAACGGGACCATTTTGGATAATTGTGCTAATGATATGTGGCATCTAGTTCCTAGATTATTGGTATAGGAACTCAAGAGTGGCTGGTGAGAGCCGTGCGGTTGAGCTGGAGCAACCAGTTCAAGCCTCTTCACACTTTGAGCTTCTCATGTAGGGGAGGGGGACAATAGGCTCAATTACCTATTTCCTCCCAAGGTAAGGAAAATGACATAACTAAGCCTGGCAGGACAGCTTACTCTGTGGTATTAACCCCTTCATGCATTAATTGGACAAGCATGTTGGGTATATGAGTCCAGTTAACCCACACCTCACGCTCAGAAGATGGAATGGGGACTGACTCAGACGGTCCCCATTCCCTTTCTGTGGTGTCTGGAAACTATGGGGCAAAAGCCTCATCCAAGTCAGTGCTTGAGCTTTCCCTACCCCCATTCTCTGCATCCTGTCATCTCTGCCCCATCCTGGTTGGCATTAGAGGGCCCCTGACAGGGGAAATCAGCAAAAATTTCCTCCCCACTTCTTCCACTAGTGGACAACTCTGCCGAAACAGACCCCTTCCTGTGAGTGTAAGGGCACCATTGGAATTTCACTCAAAAGCAACGACATACACAACCTCTTCTATCCGTACCCTATCCATAGGTTAACTTAGTATTTGCCCTTAGGAGTGACAGACATTACAATCAGGGGTGATGTTTGGTAGGTTGTTTGGTTGCGTGGTTGGTTGAATGACCTCTTGTACATGCTAGGATTAAGAAACAGAATTTCAGCAATGACAGTGTGGAAGTGCTGACAGTGCATCTGGATCAGTCAGACATTCAGGATGTCAGAAGTCACACAGCCATGTATATCTCCAACCTAGACACCTTGATGCAAGTAGTACATGGTAAGTGAACGTACCAAAGAACACCTCTCCCAGCAGCGTTAAGTAAGCTATATAACTTACAGTGAATATGCTGATATGGGAGTAATAACTAGAGATTATGCACTTTGATATATGTGCACAAGCAGTATGCACATTCTCCTGCTAGGTACACATCTGCTATATATAGCAACTTGAATTACCCTATTTCCATGCGGGACATTTTTCATTGACTTGATTATAGGGCATAGTCTAATTTCATCTGTTTACTCAAAGATACAAAATATAATATAGGTTAAATAACCTTTACAATCTATCTAAAAAGATTTTGATGATCGGTCACAGCAGTATAACAGCTACGGGACTCGTGGGACAGATTTTCTTTACCTTGCTTGTTTTTGGCTATTTTATGCCTTCCAAATGTTTGGTGATGCAGAATCCCTATTAGACATTTCATTTATCCTCATAGCTGACTGCATATGAAGGTTCTGTCTGCTGGTATGTGGGCCAGATCCTGGGCTGGTGTGGAGCTACCGTATTTTTCGCTCTATAAGATGCACCAGACCACAAGACGCACCTAGTTTTTGGAGGAGGAAAACAAGAAAAAAAATATTCTGAATCTCAGAAGCCAGAACAGCAAGAGGGATCGCTGCGCAGTGAAAGCAGCAATCCCTATTTCTGTTCTGGCTTCTGGGATAGCTGCACAGCCTGCATTCGCTCCATAAGGCGCACACACATTTCCCCTTACTTTTTAGGAGGGGGAAAGTGAGTCTTATAGAGCAAAAAATACGGTATTTAACTCCTAAGTGACAGAGACTATTAGACACTCCTGCCGCCACCTTTATGGGACTAAACCTAGCTATTATTAACCACACAAACTGGAAATATTAAGACATAGGTGAGTGCTAGAGAATTATCTTCTCAAAGGAGTCAGCCTCACTTTTTCTCCAGGACCTTATGGCAAACTCTCCAAAAGCAAACAGCTTCACTCAAATGTCTGCTTCAGATTTCACTTCTCTGGATTTTGCAGTACTGTTCTTGGCTCAAACATGTACCAAAATGCATTTAGGACACCTGTTTCAGAATAAGATACATATAGAAATACATTCACTGAGATAAAATACTCATTTTGTGATAAAATACTATTTAATTATGTATTTAAATTATTTAACTCTGTATTTAATAATTATGTACTGGGTTTAAATATGCATTTAAATTCAAACTTTAGAGTGGAGTTGTAAAAACGTATTCACATATTAATTTAGAAATGACTCAGAACAAACTTGTCAATGAACACATGCGAAATCATGGACCAGAAACAGACTGATCCATCCCTTAACTGTGTGTGCTGTTGGATTCCTTAAAGCAGAGGTAGGCAACGTGATGCCAGTATAGCTCCCATCTGCCCATCCCACACTGCCAGTGACCAGGGATGGTGGAAATTGTAACCCAAGAACAACTCAAGGGCACCATGTTGGCTACCCCTGCTTTAGAAGAAGGAGAACATCCAAGTCTTACCTGCCTTGAGCTTGCATCTTCTTCTGGTGTTATGATTCATTACCTTGTTCTGAATGTAATTTCGCAAATGACATGCTGAATCACACCTATGGGATCTCTTGAGGCGGTTTGCTTCTGAAACCTCATCATGCCAAATCTGTCCTGGAAATGGGTCTTGCAGAAACAGTTCCTGATTACAAGAGTGGTTTTGCATGAATCAGCTGTCTTGTCCTGTTTTCTTACTCTTCATAGGTAAAATCATTAGCCAAACACAGTGGAGCAGGTAAATCCCTTTTTGTCTTTCAGTCTGTGCCTCACATCCAGCACTGGGTTTTCCATTCATTTGTGCTTCAGTTTAGGAAATGAACAACACAGGAATTAATACTTCAGATGAATGTCATGGGTTCCCCATACCTTTCTTCACAAAAGAAGAACCTAGTTGATTATTTCCTGATAAAACACATGAAGAAGGATCACAAAACACAGTGCAATCCACATATTTTTTTAAAAAAACAAAGACCAAGAGTGGGACAGGATTCGTCCAATTCATGTAACTCTATTTAGTGTTGAAATAAGCTAAGCATTCAATAGACACTAGCCGAGCAAGTCCAAGACATTTTTGCACCTGAGACAAGCTGCAAAATGGTGCCCCCTTCCCTGTCAGGGAAGAAGGGCTGAGTGAAGATCTACACCAGGAGCAAGGAGTTAAGAAATGCAGCTTAGATGGGATTTGCATGATCTGTGTACACAGTGTGTATCATGCCTACATACACGTGCAGGCTTCTTCATGTATGTTATTCTGTCCACATGGACACTGGGCTCATGCAGAGAGTGCAACCACCCCAGCCCATCGACCAAGAAAGGCAACGGCTTTGTGTGAAAGACCTCTGTTGAAATGCATTGTGTTTTAAGTCGATGCTGCAATGCTGTTGAATTCAATGGGACATATGTCTAGAGCAATACTTTGCTTAGCAAAGAGGTGACTAATGTGTGTTGTAGGGGTATGAAAATTGCATTTTGCATGTGGGCAGGTTACGTTTCCCCTTTACAGCAATTATTGAAGCCTTTTAAAAATCTGAATTAAGTCAGCAGAATGCCCTTTTCACAAGATACATGCAACGAGATGGTAAAAAGCTATAATCAAAGTGCAATGAAATCCTATGCATTCTACTCAGAAGTCAATCTCATTTAACTCAATGGGACTTACTCTCAGGTAAGTGCAGAAAGCATTGCGGGTGTAGTGTCACGATTTCTAGGATGTTTTCCCATCTTTGTGTGACTTTTCATCTGCTGCTTCCTCTTATGTTTTTCTTTCCATTGATACCCATTATTCTCTTTTCTCACAAGGACAATCCCAGCTGCTGAGTTCTCTCTTGATGGTAAGTGTTTGAAACATCACTAATAATTTTCAAGATGCTAGTCTATGTCACCTCACCTTCTCCAAAATTATGCTGCCAACACCTTATAAAATGTATTTCAGAGCATGAATCCTGTGTGATGATAGAGCAGGTAGGTAGGAAACTTATTAAATGGGGGTTGCAATTGTTTCAAAACTAGTAGCAAACTGTAGACCTACCTACAATTTTATAAAAGCATTTGCCGCTATTCATACTGAAGCAAATATGCCTGCTTTTTCTGTATCTTCCAAAAATTCCATGATGTACTGCAGCTTTGAAATGTGCTCATGGCTCTTACACCAAACTTCATGCACAGTTACTTTTAGAGTTACACCAAACAAGGCAGATACACTCCTAATATTATGGAACATTGATAATGATAGAATAAATGTAACACTTACTTGAATTAAATGAGAAGTGTGTTTGATCAGGCTAGGTGCGAATAGCTGTACATGGATGGGTTTATGACGTTCATTGTCCTCTGCTAATGATAAACACGTTCAACTAGCTATTCCTTTTGTTTCAATCAGATGTGATTTGCAAAGTCTTCCCATCACCACCACCACCACCACCACTCACTAGGGATATATCTGGAGAAAACCCAGGTAAGCAAAACAGAATAAACCATGAACTATGAACAACTGACCACTGAATTGTCTGTCCAAGGTCCCCACTATTTCAATGTTTTGACAACTTTTTAGTGATAAAAATCTCAAGGAACAATATTTTCAAAATTGTAGGCTGCAACCGTATGGCTTATGCTGGTACTGTCTGCCCTGCAGATACTTGGAATCACAGCTTTGTCTCCTTTTGTGTCTCCTTAAGTGATCTTTATGGAATACTTCCAGCTGGAATGTAGCTAGATCTGGTGTAGTTGTTTATCTTGTTTAGAGCACCACGCAGGGCCCTTTCAAAGGTTTGTCCAAGTTAAGACTCCAAACTGTCTTTCTCTCATTACCATAAAAGTCAATCTGCTTCTGATCAGAAATTAGCCAGTGGTCCACCAACTGCCTTCTGCCCACCCTGGCAGTAGCAGGATACTGATGCCTGTCATTATGAGCTGAAGACTTGGCTTAGAAGAAAGAAGAAAAATGTGGAAAGTTCTGGGCTTGTTTTTTTAAAAAAGTGTTGATAATGAGCAGCTAGAAAAGATGATGATGATGATGATGATGATGATGATGATAGCAGCCTTTCTTCCTCTTCTAAAGGTCCAGACGTTCAGAAATGATGAAACTAATAAGAAACAAGATCTCACCCAGGTTCACTGGCTATAGAAACAGGAAGATACAAAACAGGAGGAATGCTTTGGAGCTGTCTGGTGGAACTGAGTTGCAAAAGAAACCTAGTGGGATTTGATGATGTCTCAGTTCAGAAAAAGCACTCTATAGGTGCTCATTTAGGTAGAGGAGGCACACTCTACCTGCTGGCTTTAGTGTTTGAAGGGGGGGGCGGGATCTGAATGACTTGGAAAATGCCTGGACTACTTTTGCTTCCCATTCCCTGTATTTTGATATGTGTAATAATAATGGAACTACAAAATGTTGAACAAAACATATAAGCAGCCAATCAAAATCCTTTGTGCCGTCCTGTCAAAACATTTTCTTTGAAGGGCTCCAAACTCTGTTATCATGTGCTGTACAACTCCCCTTAGATTCTGTTTTGCCGCCCTCTTGGTAAGCAATTGTTTGTATTGAGTATAGTTGTGTTAATTTGTTTGACAGCATGAAAAGCTAAAAGTGCTGGGTGATTCTTTTTGCTTTTATTGTTCGCTTGAAGCAAATCAAATGGAATCCATTGCCTTGCAAACATAACTCCTGCATAATTAAGCCAATCTCTGGTGATGGAAATAAAGCTTGGGTGGTGATTAGCATACCATTAAGTCCTTTGAAGGAGAAGATGTGTATTGCTGATCTGCTGGGTTCACATTTAGCTCTCTGCAGTTTAAAATATGCTCTGTTGACTTCTGATGTGCTTTTTCTGCATTGGCTTCCCATTCCCATCCAAACAGAACCCCTCCCAGATCACTGGATATGCAGATCTGCCACTCTCCTCCATTCAGAAGTAAAAGGGGGCACCTTCTGGGAATGGAAACTCTGGAAGATCTTAGGAATTTCTGTGTCCACAGCAAGTCACTGTGCCGGGGGTTTCAAAACAGGGTTCTTGGGGACAGAACGGTTTGGTGTCCCCTGAAGACCTCCCAATATGAAACACTTTCTAAGCATATGGTTGATGGTCCTTGTCTGTCAGTTTTTAAAAAATGTTCCATTAAAATTGACTGATATGGCCATTTCAATTTAGAGGGCTGGTTAGACTGTGATTGCAAAAGTGCCCTAATGAAAACAAGTGCTGAAAGTATGTACATGGTGAACAATCTGTGAATAAAAGCCCCAGTGAACAAATCCTAACAAGTCTTAAATCCTTAAAGGGAGGAAGGGAGGGGGAATGTTGCTGGAGAAATGTGATACTTAAAATCAGCAGAACCTTGTGGTCAGTGAATAGGTGGAGCAAGGAGCCTATGTTTCTGCGGTGAATAAACATCCTTCAAGAAGAACTAATATTTTAAGCATTTCATCTCATCCCTTCATATGCATGAGTTCCCTTATGCATGAGGCCAGCTGGAAAGCTCCTGTTTTCTATTTCCACAAACTACATGTATGCCAAGAGGTTGACAGGGTCCAGAGATCTAGCTGGACTGTACCCTGAGCTAAGCACTACCTGTGCCATGAACCTCACTATCAGTTCCTTGCTTGGCTTGCACTTTCCTTATCATCTTTTGAGGACATATACTGGATTCTTGTCCAGGGCTTCTGCTGCTGCAGTTGTGATACCGAACTCCACACCAAGATGAAAAACAGTTGGGGAGATCAGCACAGTAAAGGAAAACAAAAAAGCAGGTCAGTCAATATTTCTATTCACCTCTGGCCTCTACCTGTAGTAGAAACAGGAACCACAAGCAACTCCTGAATACCTTCTTTGTTTTTAGAGCTTTGTTTCTCCTATGCTGGAGATCTTTAGCCAACAACAACAAAAAGGTCAGAGGGAGCAACAAATTATTTTGATCACTTTGGCTGCCCTTTATTGAAACTTCTCCTACACTACAATATCCTTATCGTAGCGAGACAACCAGAACTGTACACAGTATTCCAACTGTGGTCGTTACACAATAGATTTGTTATAATGGCATTATATCAGCAGCTTTGCTTTCAGTTCCTTTCTTAATGTTCTCTAGCATGGAATTTACCTCGTTCACAGCTGCTGCACAATGAATCAGCATATTCATCTGGCTATCTACCACAACCACAAGATCTCATTCCTGGCTGGCTACTGTCAGCTCAGATCCCATGTACGTATATGTGAAATTAAGATTATTTTGCCTCTACATGCATCACTTGACACAGGTGAACCTGTCCCTTGGACCTACCATTTCAAGCTGCAGTCGGGGACTCACATGACTGAATGTTCCTTTATATATATTCACACAAAAAACTGTACATGTGAGGGAGAAGAATAGACTAGAACCCTTTCCCCTAACATCTAGTTTTGCAGGTGTACAGATTTTTTTTGATTTTTTTGTATGGAGGATTGAATCCTGTGCACCCTCACTGACCGGATGGAATGGTACAGCCCAGAGACAAGTCTACTGCACCAATCTGCAGACATAGCTGGATAGCTGCAAAACACTGCTATGAATGTGGACTGAAAACAAGCTTGTGAGGAATGGTTCCTCTGATTCTGATTAATTCAGTGTCAAGGGATAATGCCTGCTATCTTTAATCCTAGACTGTTTTAATTAAAATTGAATTTAGGGATTAAGTTGGCACACAAAAGTTCATTAAATAATGTTTCCCGGAGCAGCCTCTTAAAATATATTTGGACAACTATAAAGAGAGATTTCAGTAATATTTCACACATACTTTAGGGAGCCAAACTTGCTTTATGAGTATTCAGTGGTACCATGAATTAAAATGCTTTTGGCATTTGTAGTTACAAATTGGGCACCACCAGTGTGGGTGAGCTGAAGATACAAGCATCTTTCTTAATTAAACCAAATTTCTGCATCCATACTATTGAGACTGAGATTTTAAATTAATGGCTTTTCCAATTCTATAATTGGCAATAACAGTCTTCCTCCCAGAGCATTTAGAAATACTTGGTTGTTTTTATACAACATGTTTTTTAATGCAATTCTCAAATTACATTTATGCAGTGCAGGGATTTTGTTTTCATATCATTTTGTCATATTAATTACAGCACTAAAACCTGTCATAACCAAAGGCTCTGTAGCCTCAAGTGATTCTGCAAAATTAGCTGTTTACAGAAAGGGAGCTCTGAGTTCTTTTTCAGAGATGAAAAAAAATCAGTTCATGTTGCATCATGTTGAACACACAGTTTCAGTCAATCATCATTTGGACAGGTGACTCTGTGACTCCATATAACAAATGCAGTTCTTGTGTGGAGGATCATTCATCCGTCAAAGCTTTTAAATAAAAGAAGGAAGCTTATTCTGATGGATGCTGCATAGAACAAAACTGAGTAAATCTGCCAGGATATTAATGAATGAAGAGATGTGATTTCAGGAGTCTACAATTTTTGACTGGCCTTGTTGGCCAAGCCAAAGGCTACAGTCACCAGCTACCACCCCCACCCACTGGTAATGAGTGCCTTAAAACAACGGTGTCCTACCCTCTCATCCCTACCTTTCCTACTCAGGAGTAGGAAAGGCAAGTGAAGAATGCTGCCAGTTTGGCCAAGGCTCTCCAGGCACCTTGGTCACACAGATGCCAAACAACCTCCAGCCCTCCTCCCAACTATGGAGCAGGGGACGAAACAGGGGTGGCTGCACAACTGCCTGGGCGATCTCTCCCTACCTCGGCACCTTCAGAATAGGAGGAAGGTTAGTTGCTCATCACACTTGAGTGTGGCAAGCGGAAGTGTTGAAACCTCTGTGTCTTGCCTTTCTCAGTTCCTCCACAGAGTGTCAACTGTCTTCACTAAAACCCTCATCCTGCTGAATTATGCACCCTTGCCTATCTTTCAGGATGCCTTTTCCCATTGAAGTTGTACCCTAAGAGACTTAACTCCCCACCTTCCTTCTCATATTTTGTCTCCTTTTAATGGATTCTAAATCCTTGATTTGTCACCATTTTGATGTGTGACATACCTGATGGATGGCCCTACCAGCAGAGACTCAATATAGGAGCAGCATGTGGCAGCTATTTTGAAGATTCGGGACAGATAAAAGACAATTGCTTCTTCACACAGTGCTTAGTTAAACTATGAAACTCACTCTCACGGGAGGCAGAGATGGCCACCAACATGGATGGCTTTAAAAGAGAATTGGACAAATTCATGGAGAATAAGCCCATCAAAGGCTACTGGCAATCATGGCGATGTTCTCCCTTCATGACTGGAGGGAGTGATGCTTCTGCAGGTGCTAGAAACTGCAGGAGGGGAAGATTCTCTCTTGCCCAGGTCCTGGTTGTGGGTTTCTCACAGGAATCTGGCTGGCCACTGTGAGAACAGGAGGCTGGACTAGATGGGCCATTGGCCTGATCCAACAGGCTCTTCTTATGTTCTTCCAGTACTGTAGATCTGGTGTAATTATCTGGCCAGCATTGGTGACGTTATTCCTATTTTGATTGAACACACAACGAACTTCATGCTGCAGTTGTGGATATTTCTCAAACCAAGCAGATTCAGGTATAACATTGCATTAAGATCGGCATGTGGGAGCAGGAAAGCTGGAGTCGAGTATCTGGCATGGCATTAGTAGGCAAGCTTGCCTAAGGTATTTTGGCATTGTTTTAAAACTCCCACATGATTTATCAGAAACACTTCCCAGGGGTATCATCACTCAAGCTCATTTTGTTATTACTTGTGTAACTGCATTGGCTGGCTAAACATGCCAATTGGTTTATACTACTCGCCCTTTTGGGACGCGGGTGGTGCTGTGGGTTAAACCATAGAGCCTAGGACTTGCCGATCAGAAGGTCGGAGGTTCGAATCCCCGCGACGGGGTGAGCTCCCGTTGCTCGGTCCCTGCTCCTGCCAACCTATGTATCAGTTTGAAAGCACGTCAAAGTACAAGTAGATAAATACGGTAGGTACCGCTCTGACGGGAAGGTAAACAGTGTTTCCGTGCGCTGCTCTGGTTCACCAGAAGCGGCTTAGTCATGCTGGCCACATGACCCAGAAGCTGTATGCCGGCTCCCTCGGCCAATAAAGCGAGATGAGCGCCACAACCCCAGAGTCAGCCACGACTGGACCTAATGGTCAGGGGTCCCTTTACCTTTACTGGCCCTTTTATTCTGTGCTCTTCTCCTTCCACCTCCACACAAAAAAATCGTAAGTAAAATCTTCCTAGCCGAAAAAGGCCTTTTCAAACTGAGCAGCCACCAGCTGGGTCTTTTCAGAGTCTGATGTGTTGTTGCTGCTGCTGCTGCCATCTGGGGCACCATGGGACGGCAGAACTGGTTCTGTTTCTGGGGAGGCACTGTTACTGTTTCTAATTCACCTACATATGTTGATGGCTCATAATGAGACGTAATATAGCAAAACATTTTAATTGTGTCATTTTAAAGTTTGCAAACTGAAGATAGTACTGAGTTTGAGACATCCATGTTTTGGATAAATAAAATTTAATTAGCTCAGAGTCTTTTGGATACATAATGAAATGGGTAAGAGAAAGTGTCCGTCATGGTGGCCGCAGGGAGGAAGAGCACCTTAATTGGCAGCAAGTTACCAGCCTCCTGCCTAGGCAGCAAAGAAGGGCCTTCAACCACTTGTGACTCAAGAAAACACATGAAGATTAAGAACAAATGCACATGGTTCTATTAAAATAGGCATCTGGCCGGCCACTGTGAGAACAGGATGCTGGACATTATGGGCCTTCGGCCTGATCCAGCAGGCTATTCTTACATTCTTGAACTATTTCTTGTTCAGCTCTTCTGACCTGCTCATTACTGAAACAGAGCATTACAAAGTACCTTAAGTGGCTCACAAATACTCCTAAGACATGACTTTACTTGGTTTCAGATTCTGTTAGCAGATATTCAGATATTCTCTTTCCTCTTCAGTTAACAGTTAGCAATATACATGTTAACTGGAGATAATGAAGCAACAGTATGCTTCCGTGTTCTTCTTTCTTCAAGTGCTAGGCGGTTTGGGGATAGACTTCACGTGGTTAAGGCTACAGTCCTAGTTGGAAGTAAGTCCCATGAAGTTCAGTGGGATGTTTCAGCAGGTGTACTTTGGACTGGGCTCTTTGGGGAGGAGAGTAAATGGGGAAATTGTGGTGCCTATGTAATAGTCTTTTTTACAAGCATACAGGCTGAGAAGGCACCAAAGGACTGCAGCAGCAAGCATACAGGTTGGCTGGCTGTGCAAGTCCCACAGCATT